AATCCTTCGTGTTTCAAAGTAGACATGAACCTGATACAGGGTGTGATTGCCATACTTGTCAAGCTTGTTGGGTGAGGTAACTTCTGTGGTCGGGGATTAGGAAGTGTCTGTGCTTGGTACTTCATACCCACCCACAGACATGTCATTCATTCATTTGAACTGGTTACCCGGGTTTAACCTTACCTTACAAAAATAAGGGTCCAGATGACCCCAAAATTCTAATTTCAGGAGTCTTTATTACAACTTTGAGGGTCTTTTAAAGTCATGAAATGGTCTACTGTACTTGGCCACCCTTTTTACATAACTTGGATTACAGATTTTTTCAACTGAAATGAAGAGTTGGAAGAGGGAAGAAAAAAATCAGTTAACTGCAGGTAATTCAGTTGGAAAAATGTTATTCTGTTAACTTCGGGAGTTATGATTCAATAATTAATTATCTATTTCTGAAATTCAAATACTGTTGTTAAACTTGAAGAATGTTGTTCAGTTTAGAAGTCAAATATTATATGAAAACGTATTGGACTAACGGAGCAAAGGGAACTAACTCCATCACCGGATCTTCGGTTGCAGGCGAAATATTTCAGTAAAACTTCACGTTAAATTACTAAATTTGACCAAAAACAATTCTGCATTTTGTTGAAAACAAATGCATGCAAATCTCGTACCTCTATTCAGCAGTCGGTCATATGTTCTTGTTACGTTTCTGAGGAGATCAAATACATTTCTTGATGGTGTATTTTCAGACGGGAATTTTCATTATGGTCGGAGGCGACATTTGCATCCTCCACACGTATGTGTACGTAATGCCTATTGCCAAAGTAAAAAAGGGACTTGAAAGTGCATGTAGTCAGGTCAATGGATAGATCTTGTTTTGAATTTTCACTTGAAGACCCGAAGGCCGACAAGATGACATCTGTATCATGAATGATGTTATTTTGGCTCAAGAAGTTGCCTATAAAAGGTTTATGTCTACTACACGTAGTTCCTTCCTATTCCCATGTATGTCACAGTCTATGCAAAAGCAAAATGTTTCTGACATGTCGTCAACGTTGAAGGTCTATCAAAATCAAAACCTGTCAGATTCCCATCGTGTTTACCTGCTATTTGCAGACGACGCTAAGAGGGCGCTGTAGTCAGGGGCACGTAACTCTTATTTGTTTACCACAATTACGAGAACGATCGCGAAAGCCATTTCAGCAAATATTTCCTAAACAGGGTAAAAATTGCAGACAAAAATGCCCTTATTTTTTCCTCCCGAGTAGTTTTTACAGAATAATAGGCGATGTTTTGCCCAGTCGGTGGGGAAAACAAATTGGATATTTCCAAAATTTAGAGGGTCAGCGGGTCCGTAATCCAAGTTAGTACAAAGGGTGGTCTTAACATGTAATAATTACATCCATGATAGGAACTGTATATTTCTTGTCGAGAATTTGGTACAACAAATATAATTGTGGGTCCCTCCTGACACAATATATATATTTGTGCGGGCATAGTGTATGTTGTGCATACTGAACATACGTTACACACATGTAAAATCCTGGGTTATATACTTGGTATGTACGCTATGATGCACCAAAGCTCAAGGTTTTCTCTAGGATTCCAAATTGATTGAATTTGTATACAATAGTTGTTTTGTTCCTATTCACAGTTTTAAAACTATTTTTCAGAAAATAAGGCAAAACCTTGCCTTCTTAAACATTTTGCAAATATATGTGTAATGTGCATTTTGTTATAACAAATTGCAATGATGTTTGAGAGCAGTATCAGTCCATTTCTACCATGTGAACTGGAGATATTCATGTTCCAGTTCAGTGGGATGAGAAGGAACTAATAAATGGTAGTCAATAATTGATGTCGATGTGCCCTTGTTTGATCTGTTCAGGCGTACTTGTCAGACCAGGTGTGTGTGTATCTTTCATTGACGGGTTGACAATCAATACTGTAGCCTAGCAGTCCACAGGGGAGGTAACTTGGGGCCAACGAGTTGGAATCCGATGAATACAGTACAGAAATGTTCAGATAATTGTGTGTCCAAAATGCAATATCACACCAAATATTTTACCAGGGGAGGTAACATGGGACCAACTGGTTGGAATCCAAAGAATACAGTACAGAAGTGTTTGGACAATTGTGTGTGTCCAAAATGCAATATCTGACTAATAATGTTTTCTGTGATTAATCAAGGTTACACTATCAAACACGATAGAATTTATACATGCATATTTATTAATCTAAAAAGCATTTATTTTGATAATTCGTGTAGATGTGGAAATGACAGAAGAATCAAATTACCTATCTGTCACTGTTATCAAGTTTCAAGGGGTATATATATTTCACTTTAAAGACAATAAGTAAGCATTAATCCAACATATGTTTTGCTTTTGAGCATATAAATCCATGTGCTGTGAAGAGTGGATGCAACAAATATTGCCTAGCCTCGTCTTTCATCTTCACAGTCTTTCGTGATATGTGATTGGCCCTTTTCATACCACCCACGTAAATTGTATTGACCTTTGATAAAACATGTTTAAAAAAGCGCTGAATTAAAGTTTTTCAGCCAATTTTCTTGTCAAGCTACATTAACACATGTAATTTTGACACACTAATAAACTCACAGTCAATATATAGTGGTTAAGAAGTTCATTACAATGAGATTCATGCTGTAGTAGAGGCACTGAAAATCTATATGCAGCACTTCAGCATAAGGAAAAGTTAAACATGTTGTTGTTGTTGTTGTATTTGTAAATTTGTTTAAGTAAATAAGGATAACACTCTAAACCAGGGCAAAACACTTAAAAAATCTCTACTTGTAAGATGGCACCATAAACATCTGAGGCCAAGATGCAAAAACAGGACACACAGATCTGACTAAGCTGTACTGGAAGTTGACTTACCACATGGTACTCCCTCCTGCAAGATCTTCAGGCCCACTCTAATCAGTCATAATCGTTTCATTCACAGATGTAAGTGAAGGGAACCTGTCCAGGTATTTCTTGTACAGAGAAGGTATTAGTCATGGCTTGCGAATTCTGTAAGTTGCCAGATCAATTAGAAGCCAGACTGGATTCACAGGCACAAGTGGTACTGCTAACTGGAACCTGTTGAAGGGCTCACCTCAACTCAGATTTATCCAAGACAAATTCTTCTTACATTCTTTAATTGTTTCCATTGCATCATTTTGAAAGGAGGATTGAGTGCAGACGTGTTCAAGAGGATGCCTCATAGAAGTACTGAGAGATGGCATGAGAAATATGTATTGTGATCCATTGTTGTTGAAAGTTCGCCCACATTTGGCCACAAGTTTTTCCCTGTGAAAATGTTGGAATATTGGTACAACATTGTGTAGTACTTTAATTTAGAAATGATTTAAGTTGACTGAACAATTTTCAACATTATGTTGGTGTTACAGCTGGAATTTTAATGAGTCTGAAGTGGATTATAGACATGGATAAATCTAAACATTTATGTAAACTTAACTGGTTTCCATAGTTACATGGTATTTTGTTAAATACTTTTCAATGTAATTTAGTTGACAGGAATATAAGTCAAATGAAATTATGTCATAGTATCTCCACTGAAAAGTTATATATGTCTGTGGTGCTGAAACTTTGTTTGAATGATCCCTGTTATGGCACCTTAAGCGTTTCTTACTGAAATCTCAGATTTTAAATATTTACAAAATTATTTCTTTAGGATTCAGTTCAGAGCCTTGTGCCTTTTTTTCCCAGAAGACAAAGGTATGGAAAATATTATGAAGCAGCAGTTACAATCTTATTTGATAAAAGCCAATGAGATTACCGGACACTGTCAAGAAATATTGTATTCAAGCACAAACATCTTTGCATAACCCACCAACTTATTATCCATCACTTCCCACTGTTTGCAAGTGTTCCAGCAGACATTTCACCACACTTTTGAACACAAAAGTATTTCCAAAAAGATATTGTTGCAGATGATAAATAGAAAACATGACATACATTATAAAAGAAGAGAGTGCCTTTTGTTTCATTATAGCTTGTAAATTGATGTTAACATCGTAAGATATGAATAAAGTTGTAAATAATCTCGATTCTCAGTTCACAGTGTTTGAACACAATTGTAACAAACAAATGAACTGATTTGTTGGTCCCAGACACTTGCTGTATATGAGCTGTAATCTGTATACCAAACTAGTTTATGATGACCTACAATATGTGGTCCCTTTGTGTTCATTGTATGTACAGTCTACTGTATCTCCTGTGAAGGTATTAGCCTTGCAGTGTTTGTTATTTATTGTTTGGTCTAACAATTTCAATGTTGATTATATGATATTTGTGCCGATGATAAAGTGTCCTTGTGACTTGGTTGACACAATGTCATGTTATCGTATTCCAATTGCATAGATCGATGCTCTTGCTGTTGATCGTTATATTATTTGGTTCAGAATCAATTATTTACCAACCACTGCCATGTAGCTGGAATTGCTGACTGCAGCATTAAAAAACAACTGTGACTGAGGTTGTGGAATTTGTTATCTCCCCTGATTCTCCATCAGTGCTGCTGAAATTTTCTATTAGTTCTTGGGGATTCCCCTGAAAGAATAAAGATGCAGTCGAATCAGCGATAGAATTCACAGATCACTGTCAAATAACAGAATAATGCTGAGTGTGGTTTTAAGCAACAAAAAAACATAAATAGAAATGGTGTGTCTTGTCAATCTAGTCACTACATGAAGTCTTTGACTGCAACCATGCTGTGATATTGCTGGAATATGGCTAAAAGTGGCATTAACTTAACTCGCTCTCTCACTTTAACTACAAGTTATTTCAATCAAAGACACTACTTGAAGTTTCAAATACAAATTAAGTTGCAGCCATATAACTTGGCCCTACCTCTTGTCTTATTTACAGGAACAGTTTTGATATTTCATGTCAATGAACATTTGGAATAATGGCTAAATGCTCATTTCAAGACTTAAGAAATTTATTCTATTTTATATATTTCTTTCTTTTTTTTTCCAGCAAATTGTGGACAACCCAAAGTTATTTGTTGAAGGTGCAAGTTCTAACGATGTGTCCCAGGGTCGCCTTGGCAACTGCTGGTTTGTGGCGGCCAGTTCCTGTCTGGCACAGTATTCTGAAATCTGGAACAAGGTATGTGCGAGAGCTTTATGGACACTGCTGCGCATGTAAATGTTGGCATTCCTTTTAAACCTATGATATATTTATGGAAAATTTTAGTGCATTTTGTTTAATTATCTTAGTATATTGATGTTTGGGAGTAACAAGAAACACTGACTCACAGTAGCGATTTGTATCACTGAAGCTGAGAAAATTGACCAATGGCTTTAGTCAAGGCAGCATGTCCAAGGCAGGTCACGATTTATTCATGTAGCATTGCACTGGGTATTGACAATTAATGTTATAGTTCATGATATGCTTTCTCGTATACTTACTTTACTGCTTATCTTATACCAACATTCAATTCTATGTTGATCATGAGTAATATCCTGAATAAACTATTCCCATGCTGTTAAGTTTTATATTACTAAAAGAGCTGCATTATTGTCAATTGTTGACGACTGAGAGCAACTTTGTTTTGTCAAATATTTAAGTCCACAAAGTTATCCATGCATTAATGTGTTGCTACTCACCAGTGAGGTGAAATATGAGAATAGTTTTGGAGCTTTTTGCATATTTGCTCACAGTTACATCTCCCATTCTTATTGATAATTGATCAATGTTTGTTCAACAATAATCAATGATCTATATCAATAACCATCTGTAACTCTCACTCACCTCTCCTGTTGGGCAGTGGGTAGGCTAGTGGTCAAAGCGTTTGCTAGTCATGCTGAAGACCCGGGTTCGATTCCCCACATGAGTACAATGTGTGAAGCCCATTTCTGGTGTTTCCCACCGTGATATTGCTGGAATATTGCTAAAAGCAGCGTAAAACTAAACTCAATCAATCTCCTTCTGTTGCTGCAGGTGATCCCAGATGCTGCGGGCCAGGAGTGGGATGATCAGAAGCCGAAAACTACCAAGGAATCTTCCGCTTCATGTTCTGGCGCTATGGGGAGTGGACCGAAGTAGTCATCGATGACCATCTACCTGTGATCGGTGGAGAGCTGGTCTTCATCCACTCACAGAGCAAGAATGAATTCTGGAGCGCTCTGTTGGAGAAGGCATATGCGAAGTGAGTTGATATTGTCAACTTCTAGTTCAAACTGTAACATATCATGAATAAATGTTTGAAATTTGTATAGGAGCATTTCGGAGCCTGAAAGGACCAACAACATCCACTTTCGGCTGTGGATCAAGGTCAGACCAATCATCCAGTTCAGGGATGTGATTAACGAGTAACTCTCTCACATACCTTGGTACACTGAAAATATTCTCATCTGATAGATACACACTGCACATTAACTACCTCGATTTATTTTTAGTCCAATATCCATTCACATGGTGAACATTTAAAACAGCATTGGAATGACTTTGTTGGTAAAATCCATGTTAATAAACAATGTTACCATTATAAATATATGCATTATCAACATTGTGCACTGACTCAGGGTCAATTGTAAATTTTGATTTTGTTCTTACTTTCTGTAACATTGTTTGAAATGGATATTTTTCTCATATTGCACCAGATATTCAAGAAATGTAAACATTTTTCAAGTTTTATTTGTGTCCATGCCCTATGCCGTAATCCTTTCATACAAAATTGACACAAATTAAGTATCGTGATATGTTTCATATCATCGACAAAGTGTCAGGATACACATTGTGTCAGAAGATAGTCATATCTTGCCATCCTTACCAGTAACACAGACATAGAGTAAGGCCAGCCCTGAGACTAAACTCCACAAGGAGCTATCATTTACATCAGGATTTAGACCCATGAAGATCCAGGTTAGAATTGATCTTCAGTAACCCATGCTTGTCGTAAGAGGCGACTAGTGGGATCAGGTGATCAGTCTTGGCTGACATATGTCATCGTATCCTAGTTGCGTGGATCGATGCTCATGCTGTTGATCCCTGAACTGTCTGTTCAAGACTCAATTATTTACAGACTGCCGCTATATAGCTGGTATATTGCTGAGCGTGGCGTAAAACTAAACTCACTTACTACATGTGGATCCATCTCATTTTCCCCGTGTCTTCAGATTCTTCGGATGCTATGAGTCTCTGGATGGTGGGGACTTGAATGAGGCTCTGGAGGATTTCACTGGTGGTGTGTCCGACACATATGAGATGGAAAAGATGGGGGTGGCAACCGAGCCAGAGAAGCGGGCGGAGTTCTTTGCCCGAATGCAGAAAGAAATGGACAGGAGGTCTCTGATGGCAGCATCAATTCCAGTGAGTGGATTCTGTCATACCCGATTAAGACCTTGAATCCCAATCGGGGCAATAGGGTAGCCTAGTTGTTAAAGCTTGTATTCTACCATGACTTCAGTAAATACTGGATTGTGATTGGTTAATTGAAGTCATTCAGGGGTATATAATCACGTTATATACCTCTGATTTTCCAGCACAGTATGTATTTTTTTAAATATCTTAACGCGATTATGGTAGAATTGGGATAAACATACTGTGTTTGAAAATCAGATGTTCATAAACACCTGTTCATTATACACTTTAAAGCATTTACCAAAGAGTTCTGACATACTTCATGTAAAACAAATCACACTCGGATGAGGTTCTCTGTACTCAAGGAATCAAACCCCCAAAAAGGCAATAACTTCACAGTGAAATTGTGTAAGCTTTTCAAAGGGAGGTAATTTTATAGGTTGATAGCCTGCCTTTACACACATATGTTATGGACCTGCCTCATTTCAGGCTGAATCTGCCCAAGAGATGGAAGCCAGCACAGACATGGGTCTGGTCAAAGGCCATGCCTATGGTGTGACCTGTGTGAAGAATGTCCACCTGGAAGGATCGTCAGGACTGTTCAGCATGTTCAATCGTCCAAAACTGGCAATGGTTCGACTTCGTAACCCTTGGGGTCAATGTGAATGGAAGGGAGCATTCAGTGATGGGTATGTCTGAACTGAATTAGAAATATTGCAAGGAAGCTCATTCAGTCTGTTAAGGACAGTTGTTTGGCAATAACCTGGGTGGAATTTTCTTACAGGTGAATAAGTACACAGCTCCTCATGGACTTTGATGGGCAGTTGGGTAGTCCAGTGATTAAAGTGTTTGCTCATTCCGCCTATAGTGTCCTTCACACCACGTGACATTGCTGAAACATTGCTGAAGGAGGCATAAAACTATATTCAGTCACAGGCCAGAAGGAGATATTGCTGAAATATACCTAAACCTGTGGGTCAGTTGTGACGAAGAAATCTTTGGCATCCCATTAGTCGAATTCAGTATTACATTGCGTGTGGAAACTGAATTCTTTATCGCGAGTAGAAATGTTGTAATTAAAAGTTAACTGTGTTGTTAATGGTTGTGGTGCTTCGGAAACCAACTGTGTTATGTATGCGATTAGCATTTTCTACCTTTCCCTGTTTTGAATTCAGACCAGAACAGTTGTCTTGCTCTAATAGTGCACCACATGCATGCAGCGGATGTCTACTGCAAACATGTAAATGTTCCTTACGGGGAATGTTTACAGGTTCATTGACTTGTTTTGTGATATTTCACATGTGAATTTTTATTTTCAAGATCTCCTGAGTGGGAGAAAATTGACAAGAATGATCAGAAGAAGATTGGCTTGACTGTTGATGATGATGGTGAATTCTGGTAAGAAAAACTTTCAAAGTTTAAGTAACCTTTGTAAACATATGTCAATGATGCAACTGAAAGAAAAAGATATTTAGAATATGTAATATTGAATGTAAAATATTGGTTTCTTTCTTCTGGTCATTGCATTGAACTTCTCTTAAGTTATCATGGTTTTACATAATGCGGAAATATGCGTCCAGGACACAAAAATGTATAGAATGGATGCAAATGAAAATATGTACTGCACCCGGAGGACACACAATATTATCTTACCTCACACATAAATGTCGCTTTCTGATTGGCTGAGCGCAGTTCTATTATTTTCAATGTACCCCGCTGACAAGCGAGTAACATTTCAATGTACCCCGCTGTCAATGGCAACTCATTTGGTACCTCGTGGTAGTAATTCTTTATCTCGAATAACATTGAATCACGTATGATGTACGGAAATTACCGATGTTTTGCGAATGCAAATCGATGGAAGGGAGATAACTCTAAATCTGTTTTTCTTGTCAGCAAAATGTAGCAATGGCTACAAAAAGATTTGTACACATGCTTCGAACAATTCAAAATTAACATTAAGGTGTTCGGTAAGATAAATACGTTGTTCACTGGTCCCTTGGGGCCCATGGGTTGATGTACCATCGATGTTTGTTTATGTTCCCCTCGCCCTTCAGACTCAGGGAACATAAACAAACATCAAGGGTACATCAACCAATCCTCCCACCCCCTCCTCCTACCCCCACCCCCGAGGGACCAGTGAACAACTTATAATATATAAGTGAAATATTAATTAAATATGAATTAAAGTAATTTTCACAGGGCCCTCATATTTTATGTAAGGATCTTTGAATTTAGTAATTGGCGTATTCTTTAGACTCCTAGTTTGGAAGATTCAGGACATGTTCTGAGATGCAGTATTGGGTGCTAGTAGACATGGTGGCGGTGGGGTAGCCCAGTTGTTAAAGCGTTCGCTTGTCACGCCGAACACCCGGATTCAATTCCCCACATGGGTACAATGTGTGAAGCCAATTTCTGGTGTCCCCCGCCGTGATATTGCTTTAATATTGCTCAAAGCAGCATAAAACCAAACTCAATCACTAGTTGACAGGGGAGAAAAGATGTGATTGCTGACAGCTCTTTTCGGCGTATTTAACAAGAGGTCTACACACAGTAATCTTAATCTGGATCTAAAGCCAATGCCAGGATAAATGCATACGGTTGAATTGTAAATATTCATGTCTGTAGATGTTTTATCTCACTATCTTGGGAAGCTATTATAACAGTTTTTCACTCACATACTGTCTACATGAAACTGTGTAGGATGACTTTCGAGGACTTCTGCAAGTACTTCAAACAAGTTGGAATCTGCCGTAACGTGAACACGTCTTTGTTCACCCTGACCAAAACATGGAACGAAGGTCTGCATCACGGGGCCTGGAAGAAGCCGAACAGGGCAGGGGGCTGCCTCAACAACCGGGACACCTTCCTCAACAACCCACAGGTACGGAGTAAGGTTATCATGGAAGAAAAGTCCCAACTATAGTTTACCCATGGAGATCCGGGTCAGAATTGGTCTTCAAATTTGTCGTAAAAGGCCACTAATGGGATCAGGTGGTCGGGCTCACCTACTTGGTTGACACATGTCATTGTATTCCAATTGCGTATATTGATGCTCATGCTGTTGATCACTTGATTGTCTGGTCTAGGCTTGATGATTAACAGACCACCGCGATATAGCTGGAATATATCTGAATGCGGTGTTACACAACAAATGAAATGAGCCTGTAGCCATCTACAACCAATTTCTATGTCAATCCTTGACAGTGAAGTAATGCTCATATCATACTTTTAAGTTTTGTGTCTTAAGTCTTTGTTGTGTGGCCACCATGTTCATGGTAAGTGTTGAGTAAGTGTAGAACATGGTCTTGTGATAAGACCAAACTTCTGACTTACTTTCAAGTCTAACATCCCTCTACACTTGTAACTCAGCTGCCTTACCACAGACACAAGACAGCAAGACTGTGTTCATATCAAATCTGCTAAACTTTTCCTATTGCGCATGTCGGATAAGCCGGGAACATTCTTTGTGTTTCGTAGAATGTGAACCTGTGCCAACCAGCGTGCCAGGTTGTCTTGTTTATGTGGATGTAAACCTGTGAGTAGAATAAACAAACAAAGTGTATGCAATGGTTGTTAAGATTGGCATCCATGTTACATGTTTGACATCTGTTTGCAGTATGCATTTGACATCAGTGGGGAAGAGGAGGAGTTTATGGTCCACTTGAGTCAGAAGAGCACTCGGACCAAGGAAGGCTCCACCAACGAAACTATGGGCTTCACCATATTCAAAGTAAGTCTACACTGCTATGGATGCATATTTACTGGTTATGTCATTCTCAGCTGTAATGTTGGGTAGCCTAGTGGTTAAAGCATCCACTTGTCACGGTGAATTCCTGGGTTCGATTCCCCACGTGGGTACAATGTGGAAGTCCATTTCTGGTGTCCCCTGTCATGTTATGGAATATTGCTAAAAGCAGCATAAAACCCAACTCACTCATTCCCATTAATATGAATATCATTATACTCCAGGTTGAGATTAACAGACGGTACAGAATGCATGATCTGAGTCACCACGAGAAGCTAGTGTCGTCCGTCTTCAGGAACAGCCGGGTCCATCTTTATGAGGCCAACAGCCACAAAGGGACGTTACGTCATCGTCCCCACTACCTTTGAGAAGGATATTGAGTCAAACTTCCTCATCAGAATCTACACAGATAGTGCTAACAACTTCAAGTGAGTCTACAACTTGAAAACAGTCCGATAGTATTATCCTATTTAACAATAAAAATTAGTCCTTGTGTTTTTCAGACGCTAAGAACATGCATTGATTTCTCAATTATTATATGAACAATTGTAGAACATGTCACTATATTATTAAAGACAAATTAGTCATAAGCACATACCATCATCCAATACATGTGCTATTCTCCACGTTATAGTGCGAGTAAACACTGCCTTCTGAAAACATCCCTCCAAGGATATATTATGAGATTAAATTGTATAATTTATATGCTATAGTTTTATGATAATATTAATGTTATTGTAATGAATAACATCTGTCAGTATTCTTTAGCCTAACTCCTTACCTGGTGGGGTAGCTTTCAACATGGGTACAATGTGTGAGGCCCAGCTCTGGTGTCCCCCACTGTGATATTGCTGCTAAAGGCGGCGTAAAACTAAACTCGCTGCTCAGTTACTCCTTACTGTATCAGATTTGATGGTGTTTGTGTTTCCCCCGCAGGCACCTGGATCAGGATCAGCCACAGAAGAGTTGGTGGAACTGCTTGAGCAGTGAGCCAGTCATGGTTACACACATCAAGGTCATAGGAGCCCATGGTCTGGAGAAACAGGACACAGCCGGTAAGTAGGTCAGGGTGTCTTGAGCTATTGGTAGGTAGTTCAGGATGTTTTGGGATGCTGGTAGGTAGGTCTGTGTATTGGGGATGTCTGGTTATTAGGTCAGGATGTGCTGATAAATGGGGATGCTGGTGCTGGTTAGTAGGATTCAGGATGTCTTGGGCTGCTGATAAGTAGTTCTGCTGAGGATGTCTTGGGCTGCTGGTAAGTGGAGTCTTCAGCTGCTCAGATGTCTTGGGCTGCTGGTAATTAGTAAGGTAGTTCAGGATTGTTTGGGCTGCTGGTAAGTCAGGTCTTGGGCTGCTGGTTAGGAGTCTGCTGGTTGGGGTTATTAGGTCAGGATGTCTTGGGCTGCTGGTAAGTAGGTCAGGGTGTCTTGGGCTGCTGGTTATGGGGTCAGGGTGTCTTGGGCTGCTGGTAGATAGGTCAGAATGTATTAGGTTGCTTGTAAGTAAGTCAGGATGTCTTGGGCTGCTGGTAAGTAGGTCAGGGTGTATTGGGCTGCTGGTAAGTAGGTCAGGATATCATTCCCAACTGATAAAGAACTGGTGAGGAACATTTCTTTAGAATGAACTAAACCTTTTCTCTTCCCACACTCACAAGGCCAATTTTAGTAATAATATACTTCCCATCAAACTCACTAGTGTAAATATAGCCACTTACTTCAGGCAACTGTTCTAAACTACATTTTGCAAAATATTCCATGCTGTTTAAAGGTACTGTTTACACATGAACTGATGTATTGTAAAACATTCGTAACGTTGAAAAGGCTATTGTCATGAGTTCAGTAAATGATAAAAATTGGTGAAAATTTGCGAATTCTTAACAAACCTTTACACCAAAACGCAGCTGTTCACATGCACGATATTTGCACATGCTTTTCAGCAATTTGATACATGATCCTCGTGCAATTCATCTGCATATGGTTTGCAGTTGGTTCCCCCAAGTTAGTGGAGAAATCTATATTCGATGTAACCGTATATATACACATAATATATAGTGAGTGTTTAAGTGAGTCTAAGCCTTCGATGGGAAGTATATAACTCTGTTTATCATATACAGGTGGTCTTTGACTAGTTATTGGCACACATTTGATTTAATTAAACAATTCAGGGAATTTGCTTCAGACAATTTGTATTTATGTAAGTTTATCAGCTGTTGATAGAGCATTCTGCTATATCATTACCAAGTTTACATCTTCAGAACATGGTGGAAGAGGATCATCCTCCTCCAAAGCAAACCAGTCTGGAAGCCTGTAGTATTAAGCTTTAATCAGGTAGTACACAATAAAGACCATGTGAGTCAACCAGTAATATCACATTCCCCAGTTAACTGATGCGTTTGCCTCCAGGTGGCGCTGACCCTTACGTCATCATCAAGTGTGAAGGAGAGACAGTGCGGACCACAAGCTGCAAGAACACCATAGACCCGAACTGGAACCAGAGTGCTGTGTTCTACAGGAAGAAGCCCCTCGGTGCACCGATCAAGATCCAGGTCAGTGTCTTATAGCATAGGGAGATAAAGAGACAGTGCTTCTTTTAGTCTTAAGCACAAGCAGGTCTCTCGTGTCTCCGGTAAACCAGGTCAGGTTGCATATCACCCATCATAACAGGCATGCAACATTGCTCGTAGTTAAACCAACTCATGCTTATTCTGGGAAGAGAGGTCCCAGGCAACCTATGATGGTTGTAAAGATAAACCCATTGGAATTGATCTTCAGTAACCCAAGCTTGTCTTAAGAGGCGACTAACAGGATCGGGTGGTCAGGCTTGCTGACTTTGTTGACACATCATTATGTCCCAACTGCGTAGGACCCGTGTAGATCCAGGTTAGAATATTGATTTTCAGTAACCCATGCTTGTCGTAAGAGGTGACTAACGGGATCAGGTGGTCAGGCTCGCTGACTTGGTTGACACATATCATCGGTTCCCAATTGCGTAGATCGATGCTCATGCTGTTGATCACTGGATTGTCTGGTCCAAACGCGAATATTTACAGACCACCGCCATATAGCTAGAATAATGCTGTGTGCGGCGTAAAACTAAACTCACTCACTCACCTAACTGCATAGATTTATGCTCATGCTGTTGATCACTGGATTGTCTGGTCCAGATGCGAATATTTACAGACCACCGCCATATAGCTAGAATAATGCTGAGTGCGGCGTAAAACTAAACTGACTCACTCACTCACTCACTCACTCACTCACTCACTCACTCACTCACTATGCTGGTCGTATTAGATGACAATGGTTCTTGTGATCAGACTCGATGACGTTGTTGACATATACCAACTGTAATGTCAATCACTGGGTTGTCTGATTCAGAGTTGATATACACAGACCACCATGATATTAATGGAATGTTGCTAAGTGGGCTTATAAACAACTAACCAAATCAACAAAATATTCATAATATAACAAGTGGTTTGTCTCAGCAAAATTGATAATCAAAAGGCCACATTGATGAATCTGGAATGTTGCTGACAGTGGCATAATACACTAATAATATTAATGTAAGGTGGGATAATTTTTGGGAAGGCATGAATAAAATGGCAACATTACCCACACGACAGCTTTTCTACCTATTATACATACAGATTAATGAAAGTTATAACATTATTGTATTTGTAGATCTGGAACAACAATCTCTTGAGGGACGAGTACATGGGCAAGCATGTGTTTATGAGTGCTGATGAATGCACCCACTCAATACAGGAAGTGGGCCTCGTTGGACGCAAGAAGGAGCAGGGAGCCGCAAGGCCAGGCAAAGTCCGTGTGGAGATCACACAGAGCAAGACCCTCTCTACAATCTAAACATTATCTGCTGTTATCAGAAACCTGGTGCTCACAATATTGTTACATTGTTAGGCTTGTGGATCCACTCACAACACCTGTAACACCTGTTTCAAAATGTTACCTGTAGGGATTTACCTGAATGTATTTCTTCGATTAAAAATGGTGATCTATATCACTCTTTATCCCTGGCATTTAATAACAAAGATAATAAAAGTGTCGAATTTTATGTATCAAAGCTACCAGTATTTAATTCAGGCTGGGCAAATTTTAAAGGCACTTTGGTTTAAGTTTTCAACATCAGAGTTTAATCAAGGAAATACAGTAATTTGAAGCTTTTGTCATATTCCTCCACTGTGGTGTTTTCTTACACATGGCTTTACTGTTCTGTCTTTTTATTGGAATTACAATACAGTTCTTTTGTGTACGTTTTGAAAATGATGACACACCATTAACTGTTACGTGTGTCTTGGAATAACTTTCTGATGTTCACCTCTGTCAAGACGTCAGAAACTTATGAATGAGTGGCTATAGAAGGTAACAAGTTTATGTTCTGCTTGAATATGTTATTCACAGAGTACTTTGCAAAAGTGTTTCATAACTGCGATTTATTACTCAGAACGAATAGATCATGGACTTGTAAGTATATAACAAGCAAATTGTAATGTGCTGATTTATTAACAAGTGCAAATTTACAAAACCACTGTCTTTCCTTGTGAACTTATTCTCTTGTTAGTCTCATGATGTGAATAGTTACTCATTGATATTGACTTTTAAACTTTTTTAATTATCAGTGTTTGCTTTGTGAGTCTGTTTGTATTGGATACAAGTAAACACGGGATAACTTTTCAATTTCCAACCAGTGTTACTTGTCTTTATACATCTATGTGGTTGTTACTTGCTAGGTATTTGTACATAGCGTATTCACTCTGAACCCTTTGTCTTGTAATGTGAAACGTTATGTTTGGATAGTGCATGACTATGTAGGCATTTGAAAAGATGTAGCATAGCATTCTGAGTAAAATTTACTTTCTCTTCCTGCACTGAGTCATGTGATTTTAAATTTTCAAGGAGGTATTTTATGCTAAAATATAAAAATGTTAATTATTTACTTACCGTCCAAATCATAAATGCATTTAAGGAATTGAATATTTCTGATATTAAATCTAAAATAGAGTTACATACCACTTTCTGGGTTTTCATGGTTTTCAAGAAGTCTTCATTTTGCATCTTTAGCAAGAACAGTACAATATATCTGTTGCAGAAAATAAGTCCTTTTAGAAGATGTTAGATAGTCATGTATTTAGTTGTCCGATCAAGGCAATGGTAGGGAACCTAATGCTCACATTGATTAGTCCAGGGCCAGTATTGTTTATAGTGAAAACATTCTTGGTTTCCAAGCCTAATAGTAGTAAGGGCCATGCAATAGGCTAGTTAATGTAGAGGTATGCATATACACATTTGTGAGGGTTTTGTATTGCTGTGATAGTTACTGTTGCTTGACTGCTAGTCCTTGCTTCTTGTCTTGCCACCACTTTAGCAGCTACCAGGATGTGTGTATAACACTTACCAGGATATATACACCCATAATAACTACCAGGAATACAGGACTGTACTGCCTACCTACATATTGTATATTGCCTCCAGACAGGCAACAGGAATTACATCAGGATGACCTTTCTTCTCAGATAAATAATCAATCAGGAAAGGTTTATTTCTAAAATATTGTTTTATAGTGTGATCAGACAGGAACCAAAGCACCATCAGAACAAGTGTTGAGGATGGACTTCCTTTTGAATAGTCAGCATGTGTAATTAGGAGAGTTATCAGAGTTCAAGTCTCTCTACCCAGAACTAGGAACCCCAGGAAGTGCTGCAGTTTAGCACAAATATGTTGAGCTAAATGATGTGACAGATCTTTTGCACAATTCATCATAATATTGTAAACCTGCCAATTCACCCTTTGGTGGAGGAAAATAGTAGTTAGTAGCCTCAATGTCTCATCAATTTGCTTGAACAAATCCTATCCTGCTAAATATGTACTCGACATGTAACCCATATTGGCAGTGATGGTGCAGAGGGAAGGGAGAGTGCCTATTTTTGTACCATTGATAATGTACACTAACATGTAGAATCACTGCATGCGGTTGTTAAAGGGGTAAGGCTTCATATATTGTAAGCCCACATCTCTGATGTAATGCAATTCTTTTACGACGTCTACTGTATCTTGCACTGGGAAGGTTGTATATTCTTTATAATCTTTTCTATTTTATTACTTTTGTTGTCATTTTCATATGTTAATAAACATTTTTGTATATTTTATTTTACATGTATGTTTCATTACATCACTCATAGATCTTGTGTTTGGACATGTACCCATGTGCATCAACTTTAGATGCTATGATTTATGATGCTGTCCTGTAACTTAATATATTTTAATAACCTACATGACACAACAGATTCAATGAAAGGAACTTTTTCTGGTGGAACAAATTATTTTAAGAAGTACCCTTAAGGCTGATATCACGAAACATTGTGTGTATCATATTTATTAATTCTGAGACAAACATGTTGTTTTCACACCCTTAGTTTTGTCTAAATTTCATGTTATCATCTTTACAACATCTGTCCAACTTATAACTGCTGACATTTTTTTAACATGAATTTTTAAAGGTTTTCATAAGGTTGATCTAATGAGTCAACTGTGTGTGGTTAATGAGACGTCATACTTGAGTGATTTATTTAATATGATAACGGTGTAATATGGAGTTCTTCAGTGCTACACAATGTCTCATGCTTCAGAGAAAATACTTTGACCTTGAGTTAAGAATCTCATGATTATCCATATGCTTCAATTGTTTTAGTTGTAGATAGTGTAGACATCTCAAATAACTGGCACATGACTGTCATCTGTGGCACCTAGATTCAGCCATGTTCATTAAACCTCATGCTGTGTTTAATAAACATTTTGTTCTCGATTCCTTTCTTGATGCAGTTTTTGTTTAGAGGGGATTATTTCTGGCTAAATTCTGGCTAACAGGTTTCTTCCAAAGTCTCCAATGTGCTGTATCTTGCAAGATATATGAGTGAGTGAAGTTAGTTTTACGCCGCACTCCGCAATATTCAAGCTATATGGCGGCAGTCTGTAAATAATCGAATCTGCACCAGACAATCCAGTGATCAACAGCATGAGCATCGATCTAAGTCATTGGGAAGCAATGACGTGTCAATCAAGTCAGCGAGCCTGACCACCCAATCCCATTAGTCGCCTCTTACGACAAGCATGGGTTACTGAAGATCAATATTCTAACCCGGATATATGGTAATTAGAGAGAGACCATCTCTGCTTACAATACCAATGTTTCATAATGTGAATGTTATCAAATAAAAGCAGCAAAAAAGCACCTACATGATCATAACAAATATCTGCAAACTGCAATTGTATTATTACAATTTTGTAATCAGCACATTTGTGAAACATTATCAGCTAATGATGAGACAGGTGATTATCCTGACAAACAGGTGGCACAAGTCACAAACACATGCATTGGCATGTCAATTGTTCTGACTATAACAGAGGCGGTAACCTCCCAAACCCCCTACATCCCACAACCCCTACAGCTTATAACAACAAAGTTCATGGTCCAGTGCACTGCTAATCTGCCTGTTACCTATTTCAGACAATGGACCATGCCAAACACTTAGAAGTTAAGAGAATGATTGAAATGAGCAATAACAAAACTAAGAGTTTGAGATAATGGTTTTAGTGGATTATAACAAAAAATTAGTTTAACTAATTGTAGGAATACTGGGCTGTAGGGGTTATGAGCAGTAGGGGTTTTGGAAGACAACCGAGGCGGTACTGGGCTGTAGGGGTTTGGGGAGACAACCACAGAGGCGGTAGGGGTAGCCTAGTGGTCAGGCGCATAGCTAGCCAATTTTTTCATGTAAGCCTGATAGGTAGCAAAGCTTTATACATGTATTTATATTTAGATGGTATTGAGGGCTTGCTCAACTTTTTTTAGCAACAATCATGTGTAAGCCCGGGCTTATTTTTATGTAATGGTAGCTAAGCCCCTGGTGATTAAAGCATTGGCCCATCACACTGGAAACCTGGGTTCAATTCCCCACATGGGTCCAGTGTGTGAAGCCCATTTCTGGTGTCCCCTGCCGTGATATTGCTGGAATATTGCTAAAAGCAGCGTATTAACTAAACTCACTCACTGTGACTATAAGACTGCAGGAACACATGGTACATAATAAAATAGAAAAATTGCATTGGTCATCATTTTTGTCCCTGACGCATTACATTTTGAGAAACAGAACTGGTGCACGTTAGAATGGTATTTCTTGCTGGTTGAGTGGGTGGAATCTGCATGGTGTGATTATTAGCATCTGCGAGCTACAAAATTAGGAAATATAAATGGAAAAAAAATATACATGTGAGAAATAACTAAAAGCTGATACATTCAGTTATCACAATATGATGTCATCAAAAGGAAAAACCAACAGTATGACATTTTCAGCGCCATTCTGCATGTTGTAAATATTTAAGACCACCAACAATAGAAGGTCAAACTGAAACATAACCCAAGAAAAACACATTAATGTTGACTCCTACAGTTATCTGAATAAAATTGTTTTGATACATTTTATAACTAAATTAATACATTTTAAGAACCGAAGACCTGAGAAAATAAACCTGTGTTTATCAGCCAGCCAGAGAGTCATTTTACACACAATATGTACAAAATTATAATGTATGCAAATAACTTTAATAAGGTACACAATCTAATACAGCAGTTTACATGCATTGTATGACTGAGTATACCCAACACACTCTCAATACATTACCTAGTAGGGGGTGTCACAGAATATACAGGGGCGGTGGGGTAGCCTAGGGGTTAAAGCGTTCGCTGGTCACTCACGCTGAAGACCCGGGTTCGATTCCTCACTTGGAAACAATGTGTGAAGCCCATTCTGGTGTGCTCAGCTGGAATATTGCTGGAACATTGCTACAAGCGCGTAAAACCAAACTCACAGAAGATACACACAGTATACATAGCCATAATGCATATTCAAACAGGGTAGTAAAGTTTTGAAGTAATATATTATAACACGAAAGTCGAAGATACTAAAGTTTCTCATCTGAGTAAATACACAATGTGTTTATTAGTCAACCACAGAATGGTGTGTGACTGTTATACGTAGTTCATACCAATCATTTTGTCGTTTTTATGAGACAAAGGATCATACCGGTCAGAAAAACAAAAACATGTTCCCATCGTTGTCACTGCGAGAAGTTTACCCACATGGGTACAATGTGCATAGCCCATTTCTGGTGTCCCTCGTCAAGATATTGCTGGTTAATGCATGTCCTCGTGTAATTGCGCAGATCCTGATGTCGATCACTGGATTGTGTCAGTCGGAGTGAATCGGGGATTCGAACACGTGTTGATCCCACGTACCCACATGAACCTGCATATGTTCAACTGTGGCATATGTTGGGTCACCTCCGACCCTCTCATGCAATGGGGTTAAGTAAGGTATATATAACTGTATCTCTTTAGCTGATCCACCTCGGGACTTTCCCTTACTTGTGTACTCAAGTTTCAAATACCATGAATATTCATATTTTAACAATTAAATTTCGTTTCTTTTGTCACCAACTCTTGTACAAACAAACATGGACGTTTAGTACTTGACAATGTATGAGTGAGTAAGTATGGTTTCAGTCCGCCATTTGCAATATTCCAGCAATACACGATCCGATACACCAGAAATGAGCCACACACACTGTACCCACCTGGAGAATGGAATCCGGGGGGCCTTCGACGTCACGAGTTAAAGCTTTAACCACTACCTCGCCGCCTTTTATGGCTTTAAAATGATATTTTGAAGAACTGATTCAACGCATTAAACAGGAAATTATGGCAAAACCTCAAAGTTCTGTATTTCAGATAGCTAATGATGACTAGAAACGTGCTTAAATACACATTTAATAAAATACTGCTTAATTAAGTTTGTCTCTTAAACTACTGTCGCGGCCATGAAGTATATCTGATTCGAACCACTGGAAAGATCAGCTGTTCTGAATCGGTGGTAAGACGCATGTGGAGTTTCACCTGTTACAAAACCAGTACATCACGCTCGAGTGAATGGTACCCGTGAAGATCCGGGTTAGAATTGATCTTCAGTAACCCATGCTTGCCGTAAGAGGTGACTAACGGGATCGGGTGGTCAGGCTCGCTGACTTGGTTGACACATGTCATCGTATCCCAATTGCGTAGATCGATGCTCATGCTGTTGATCACCGGATTGTCTAGTCCAGACTCGATTATTTACAGACCGCCGCCAAATGTCTGGAATACTGCTGAGTGTGGTCCTGGGAGGGCATCGAATGAGTTGAGTTCCAATAACTATCAAATCGCATTACGTTTTGAGCAAAAATACCCTGGCTATTTCGACATAAAACATCTACTTTAAAAAAAAGGACTGACATGTATTGTCTTTGAAAAGAAATAATTGAACACTGAAGTAAATGATTTTTATTGCTTCACTCGTCTCGCCGAAGACCCGGGTTCGATTCCCCACATGGATACAATGTGTGAAGCCCATTTCTGGTGTCCCCTGCCGTGATATTGCCAAAAGCGGCGTAAAACCCAACTCACTCACTCACTGATTCTTATTGCCTGCTTTTGTTTTTAACGGTACAATTCGAAAATTACCTAGAGTAGTGTCCCTTGATTCAACATGGCGGTAAAGTCGAAATATTGGAGACTTCGTATATTGGTTTTCACGTTTGCTTTGAAATATGTTCCTCGCAAGCAGTGAGGACACTATGTGATTGTGAGATTTTATTTACATGTTGTTATATCGACTTGAGATCGAATTATGCTTACGCACTATTGCTTAAATAGCACAGCTGTCAAAATACAAAGTCCCAATATTCTTTAAAAAATATCACTTACTCATTAGTCATAAGGCAAGGCAGCTCCGGAAAGGCTGGCAACCCAGAGTAAAATTGAAAGTAAGTGGTTATTTCTGTTACTTATATAATATACATTGTTCATTCTGCGTCTGGTGGTCAGGTTCCCATGACAAAATGTAAATATATGTTATCGATAAAGGTTGACAAGCCTATTCGCAATAACTTTGGATTGTAAAATGGGCTGGTTATGACCATATAGACATGGATTCAGTTACACTGATGATTTGCCGATAACTAATGCACCGTGATGTAACTTATTTGAAAAGACGATAATTTGTTAGGTCAATCAGGGATAGAAATGTTTTCTAAGTGTGCCTTAGCTGCCCGAATATTTTGACTGTACAGTAAATGAAGTGTGCCCACATGTTCAGTGCAATAAAGGACTGTGAATGATGATGATCACTTGAAATTTGGTTAGTAAACAACAAATATAACATGTTTTCTGTTATCACTGATATGTCTTCTGAAAGATGATTTCTTTAAGATTCATTCTGTTTTGCAGCCCCTTTAATAGCTAAGAATTTTGTGACAGGTTCTGTTCAATATATCAAATGTCCTCTTCAAAACTATTAGTACCCCATCACTATAAATGGAACCTGAAAACAACCTGATTTCAAATCCATCATATTTCCAGTGATGTCCTGGGCGATAAAGTCCATAAATGTTTTTACTTGTTTGTCATTTGTGTACATGTTTAATCAAGTGATGATGAGTTATGTCTCTAAAATATCTGATAAAGGGCAAAAATGTTTTCCGCATTTCATATTTACTGTGCCATTAATTGGAGTATTTCAAACCCTGTCAATATAGTGATGTGTTAGAAAGCTACCCATACCATGACTGTACAGTATCGATACATTTCAGTGCAGTGTGGGATATTTTTAAAAGCTGGTTGCTCATAATTTATCAAACGAAAGTGATGTCATTCTGTTTTGCCGGAAAGTTTTTGAACCTGTCATGGAAAATGTAAAATACCCATCTTTAAAAAGGAAGAAAAATGTCAAAATAATTACTCTCTAGTCAATCATGTCTATTGTAAAGAATGTCAGAAAGCTGATAATCAAACTGTTTTGCATCATTGGTTAATTCCTGAAATATCTTCCATGACAAAACCGTGTGACACTTAACATGACACCATCTCTCAACTCCTCATGTCTTGGTTAGCTTGAACTTGGATAAAATGCTGTTACCATGATCAGCAATGTCACTGTCAAAATTTCTTAGTGAGTTAATTAGGTGACAGCTTGCAGCTGAAACAATAATGCCTAATGGTATAAAACATGGTAAATGTTCCACTGATTTGACAGTACATGGATTAACTTCATTATGTGCTAGATGTATCTCTTACAAAGTATGTGTTGTGTTCCTTCTTCCAAACAAAATACTTTGTGCATGTCATCTTTTACATTTTGTATGATCTCTTGTTATGTAACATGTCCAATCATTTGCTAATCACAGGACTAGACGAAATATGTTTTCACTAGTTGTCAAATATGATATGCCAATGAGTTGCTGTGTCTTGAAAGAAGTGAGTAGTTGTGAAGATATTTGATGGGCTCTACAAATTTAGTTGCAGGTTGTGAGTGAGACCCTGGTACCAACGATGGAGGAGACGGTGGCTGTGAAGGAGATGTTTGATGGGCTCTACAACATCATTGTGGGGCCAGGCTTCTACACAGTCAACGGAGCAAAAAAGAAGAGAACGAAAGTTTCTAAATCTAGTCTCCAGAGTATGGGATCGCATGAGGATTTGATGACTTCAGTTTCGGATCAAGAGAGTTCAAAGGAAGAAAAGGAATATAGACCATCCACTGAGAGTGTAGGAGATTTTGCATATAAATCAATTGCAGGAAGTGATTCAGATATTATTTGTGATGATAATGCGAGTAGCATTGTTGGCCCAAACACAGTTTTTGTTTCACATGAACCATCGATTGACATTCCAAGAACTGAGGGTACTGTGAGTTCAGAACACAAGCACAACAATGTGTGTGACACAGCTGTTCTTTTACCAGGTAAACAGGCAACTGATGACAAAATTGTTTGTGCTTCTCTCAAGTCAAAATCATATGTGACAAAGGAGCAAGAATGTGCATCAAGGTTTGGCTACAGTAAACAACCTACTGACTTGACACGTTCAAGTCGTGGTAATGGCAGCAAAAACAGCACTGTGTCTGTGGTGAGAGTTGACAGGAGTGATGTAACTTCTAAACAGTCTCGGCCATTACTAGGAGAAGGGACATCTAATGTTCCAGGTGTTTCACATAAAGCAAATAAGTGTGATGTAACTTCTAAACATTCTCGGCCATTACAAGGAGAAGGGACATCTAATGTTCCAGGTGTTTCACATAAAGCAAATAAGTGTGATGTAACTTCTAAACAGTCTCGGCCATTACAAGGAGAAGGGACATCTAATGTTCCAGGTGTTTCACATAAAGCAAATAAGTGTGATGTAACTTCTAAACATTCTCGGCCATTACAAGGAGAAGGGACATCTAATGTTCCAGGTGTTTCACATAAAGCAAATAAGTGTGATGTAACTTCTAAACAGTCTCGGCCATTACTAGGAGAAGGGACATCTAATGTTCCAGGTGTTTCACATAAAGCAAATAAGTGTGATGTAACTTCTAAGCATTCTCGGCCATTACAAGGAGAAGGGACATCTAATGTTCCAGGTGTTTCACATAAAGCAAATAAGTGTGATGTAACTTCTAAACAGTCTCGGCCATTACAAGGAGAAGGGACATCTAATGTTCCAGGTGTTTCACATAAAGCAAATAAGTGTGATGTAACTTCTAAACATTCTCGGCCATTACAAGGAGAAGGGACATCTAATGTTCCAGGTGTTTCACATAAAGCAAATAAGTGTGATGTACCTTCTAAACAGTCTCGGCCATTACTAGGAGAAGGGACATCTAATGTTCCAGGTGTTTCACATAAAGCAAATAAGTGTGATGTAACTTCTAAACATTCTCGGCCATTACAAGGAGAAGGGACATCTAATGTTCCAGGTGTTTCACATAAAGCAAATAAGTGTGATGTAACTTCTAAACAGTCTCGGCCATTACTAGGAGAAGGGACATCTAATGTTCCAGGTGTTTCACATAAAGCAAATAAGTGTGATGTAACTTCTAAACAGTCTCGGCCATTACTAGGAGAAGGGACATCTAATGTTCCAGGTGTTTCACATAAAGCAAATAAGTGTGATGTAACTTCTAAACAGTCTTGGCCATTACAAGGAGAAGAGTCAACTCATGTTTCTGGCATTTCACATGGAGAAGGGCCATCTAGTGTTTCACATGTTTCACATAAAGCCAGTATAAGTGATGCAACTTCTAAACAGTCTCGGTCATTACAGGCCGAAGGGCCATCTACTGTTCCAGGCGTTTCTCATGTTTCACATAAAACAAATCTTGAAGGTGCAGACCTTACAATCTCATCCAGAAGAAGTTCAGGGAGACCTCAGTTGTCACCTGAGAAGACTGTGAAGCGTAGAATACAGCCATCTCTTTCAGACAGGGCAGTGAAACTGCATCAAGAACAGAAGACTACTGCTTCCATTCTGAAGAGTGATGATGGAACTTCTGTCACAATTAATGGTAAAATATTGTCATATTGATTCGTGTTGATGGCAGGTTCTGTCAAGGAAAGACATAGATATATTTTGGACCAGCAGAAGTGTATGATATGCTGTATGCATTGATAATAATAATAATAATAATGTGCAAGATATTTTATGGATTTAACGCAGTTATGACGTCATAGTGTCGACGTCATAGTGTCAACTGTCACTTCACCTGAGGAAGGGATCTGTAATGATCCTGAAACGTTGTGTGGAAAAGAATAAAGAAGCTTAAATCCATAAAATATCTTGAACAAATAAATAATTTAATGTCATTTTTCCACTTAATATAATAAACTGTAATGATCACAAATATGCTTGTATTATCAGGATATTATGATCAGATGCTAAATGGTCAAAGGAAACTCATGTTTTATATAAAACAAATCTCAAATGTGCAGATCTTACGATCTCATCCAGAAGAAGTTTCGGGAGACCTCCTGAGAGCAAGTTGTCACCTGAGAAGTCTGTGAGATGTAGAAGACAGTCAGCCGATGAGGAAACTTCCCTTTCAGTCGGTGCAGTGAAACTGCAGGAAGAACAAAAGACTACTGCTTCCATTCTGAAGAGTGATGATGGAAGACCTGTCACAATTCTTGGTAAATATGAACATCATGTTGTTGACTTATTTAATTTTGAAAAAAGATTGAAATACTCTGGTTGGGACAGCTGAATAAATTGGAAAGTTAAGACCCTTCATAAGTTATGGCTGGGGGAGGGGGTGATGATTTTAAGGGCCAGCACCCATTTTGTTCTGGGGAGGTAGGGGGTCATCAATTTTGTACACATGTACTAGGGGGTCGTCATTGATTTTGTTCATGACATGCAGGGGGTTCACTTGTTTTGGGGGTGGGGTGTGTGTCATTCACATGTACATGCTTCTCCTAAATTTGTCATTGGGTCCCTGTTACTATAGGTGTACAGCAATGACTCATGACTGTAGTGCTACTGTCATGGGAGTGGAATGGGTCTCAGCTAAATTACAGGCACTCATCTCTAGGGCTGACGAATTGATGGTCCTAGAATTATTAAAGTACCATAAAAAAACTGTTTTTAGGCTGTTACTCTGTATCCCTAAAATTTACTACAACTAAAGTGTATGATATACTGGATGCATTGTAATAATAATTATGATAATAATAATAATAATAATATTAATAATAATGTGCCGCTTTCTATAGCGCCCTATTTGAACTACTTCTAGATCACTCTAACTCTTGCATAACTGATTTGTGAAGATCCGGATTAGAATTGATCTTCAGTAACCCATGCTTGTCGTAAGAGGTGACTAATGGGATCAAGTGGTCAGACTCGCTGACTTGGTTGACACATGTCATTGTATCCCAATTGTGTAGATCAATGCTCATGATGTCGGTCACTGCATTGTCTGATCCAGATTCGATTATTTACAGACCCTGCCCTATAGCTGGAATATTGCTGAACAACAAATAATTATGGTGTCTTTTAGCGGCAATTTTGAAAGTTGTTATAGATGTCCAAGATATTTTATGGATTTAACGCAGTTATGACGTCATAGTGTCAACGTCATAGTGTCAACTGTCACTTCACCTGATGAAGGGATCTGTAATGATCCTGAAACGTTGTGTGGAAAAGAATAAAGAAGCTTAAATCCATAAAATATCTTGAACAAATAAATAATTTAATGTCATTTTTCCCATAAATATAATAAACTGTAATGATCACAAATTTTGCTTGTATTATCAGGATATTATGATCAGATGCTAAATGGTCAAAGGAAACTCATGTTTTATATAAAACAAATCTCAAATGTGCAGATCTTACGATCTCATCCAGAAGAAGTTTCGGGAGACCTCCTGAGAGCAAGTTGTCACCTGAAAAGTCTGTGAGACGTAGAAGACAGTCAGCCGATGAGGAAACTTCCCTTTCAGTCGGTGCAATGAAACTGCAGGAAGAACAAAAGACTATTCCTTCCATTCTGAAGAGTGATGATGGAAGACCTGTCACAATTCTTGGTAAATATGAACATCATGTTGTTGACTTATTTAATTTTGAAAAAAGATTGAAATACTCTGGTTGGGACAGCTGAATAAATTGGAAAGTTAAGACCCTTCATAAGTTATGGCTGGAGGGGGTGATGATTTTAAGGGCCAGCACCAAGTTTGTTCTGGGGAGGTAGGGGGTCATCAATTTTTCCTGTAGGCCTCACTTGTCCATACGCCCGTGTTCCCCAGGCTGCTCTCCTTATAGGACAGGTCCCCAGTCCCAGGCTAAGCGTGCAGCATGTTCCCCGGTGTACCCACGTGACTACCTCAGAGTGATCGTTCTTTTTCTTGTCGCACCACTGTGTGGACGTATTGTGAGAGTTCTCACCTTCTTTACAAGTTAACATGAGAAATATATCATGGGTAGTTGACCCTATGTAGCGTAATTTTGCGCACACTGTAACAATATTTACTTCCTCGGATCCCACTCATCATGTGTGGGTTGTATTGACCTGTGTTCCTGGAGCAAACGTTGTCGGGAATGTTCTCCCTTATCAAGGACGTTATTAGAGCATATAGACATGCTTGCTCCCGTTGGCTGGCAGACAGAGCTTGTTACACTTCAACAGTCGATCACCCGACAAACCCTCACTTTCAACGACCAGTATTAACTGCTCATCGTCTGGAGATTCTCATGTCGGACGGTGATGATTTTAATGGCGCATCATCAGATGTGTACTCGTCGTTCTGCCTCATCAAACCGCTCTGTGTTGCCAGCTGACTCTCACAGCCGATCTACATCGTCAAATCACCTAACCGGTTCGCCATACCGAATTGATTCACCAGACTGAACCGTTTTGCCACGGCGAAAGTGGATTACGACATCGACTCAATTTGCCATAATATTAAGACTGTTTCTTATCTCCAAAACGGCGGCTCTCATCATCAATTCGGCCGTAATGGCTCTCTTCGCCGAAATGATTAACCTCGTTGAACCAATCCACCTCTGCCAGAACATTTCACGTCGCCTCACCGGTTCATCTGATTGTTCTAGATCTCTCCATCAGCTGAGATCATTTAAACGTTTCGGATTACCGAACCGATCTAGATCACATCAACGTTCCGGCTCACCACCCTGAACCGATTTACCAGCCCGACTCGTACCGTTTCACCAGGCCGAACCAGTTCACCTGGACGTTCAAAATCACTGAATTGTCAGCATTCATTGAACTGTCAGCATTCGTCAATAATCCATTCCTCGGACCTTGCCAGCAATTGAGCTTATTCACGAATTGGGCAATTCCCCACTCATGTTATTTCCAACACGGCGCATCTTAGCAGCTTATCAGAGCCTATGCCAAATGTGTCTGGGGTGCCTCCCAAGACACTTAACCCACATCGAACCTCGTCTTTGTTTTCTGTGAGGGCATCTGTGAGGCGCTGAATTCCTCATTATGGAGTGGCAAGCTCTAAGCATGACAATTTGATTTGTTTATCTGGTTGACCTTACGGCTTGTGAGGCTCTTAATGTTATTAGTCACAAAACTTATCCCACCTTGTACCCCTTTTGCGGCTAGTTGAACAGAGATAGTAGCTATGTGCTTCACCATGCCGAATCGATTTACATGTGATGTCAGTAGCACGGTCATCTAGACATATCATGCTCAGCACTTGACGGTCTGACGATCCCAGTTCTCAAGAGTCCTCCGTGACCGGGGCTCATCTCATTCCAGACTTAATCTACCATCTGATCTTCACCTTTGATGAATGATTCGGTTCAACGAATCTACCCTTCGATGTAGATATCAGTTCTACAACCACCCGATAGGGCATTACTAGATAAGCTTGCTAGCCAGGAATACTTTACCACGCTTCACTGAGTCTTGTTACTACAGACTACTGGTAACAGTGTGTTTGTGTATCGCTGGGTGCAATTATTGCAGATGGTTCGTCATCTTCAGCTCCCTTTTTTTTACATGATAAGCAAGTTTCTGGACAGATAACAGATGGGTCAAGTTTTTGCGCATGGTACCAGCAGTGATGTTTTGTCAAATAGCCAGCATAGCTCAGCCTGGAATTTATGGGTTGCGACTCGCCTGGTTTACCGAAGACCGTGTTGTCCGTTTTTTTTGTCACTCGTGTTTAACGTTTGCAAATGGCAGACTACTGTTTGTTTTACCGGAATTTTGATGATCAGAGTGACTATGAAGTGCCCTTGCACACTTGTCTTGGTCCCACGAATCGGATATCAAGTCCGGCCTTTAAATGCTAGTAACAATGACCGGTGCCATTCCTGGAAAGAGTGATTGTGTCGAGATTTCGACAGCCAGTCGAGAGAGACTGCTTATCGAGGGTGACAGACAGAAACACCCATGTGTGGGTTTGACTAGTTCAAGCACTGAGTTCAGAGGTCACTGCAGTTATGCAAGGACTGTCACCAGGCACTCCACTTGGCGCACCATTATTTTGGTCCGCCAACCGAAGTGGAATGTTTGCGTTGGAGTCTCTATGGTGCCCTTCATACCGACTCAACACCTGTTTGTCAACGCATCTTTCAAGCTGGGACGCTCACTTTCTCCATCAAGTGGCCTAGCAGAAAAAATGGTCATCAGGAGAAAGGGCCCTTCATATCAACGAAGCAGCACTATCATTCTCGCCATTCGGCATTGGGCAGTTGAACTACAATTCACTCATATACTGATTCAATCAGACGTTTCGATGGTAATTTTGTACATAAACCATCAGGGGTCGACAGCTTCAGTTGATGTTTTGAATTTATCATCTGATCGGTTCACTAAACACAGTGGCCAGAGCCCGACACATCCCCAACATGAGGAATGTCATTGCCCATGCCCTGTCACGTCTCAAACGACCGTCACTCACGGAGTGGAAATAAATGCCTCTGATATTCCAATCGAAGATCAACCTGTTATCACGACCAGATGTAGACCTGTTCGCCACTCGGTACAACCATCAGCTTCAGTGCAGATGATCACCAGTTGCGATCGTTTCTGCTTTGTGTACAATCTGAATAAAATTCTGAATTTTATGTCTGATTTGTGTCTTCGATTCTTCTGGGACTTTGATTTCTCCTCTCAGTTTAATTTGAGGCTCTGGAGAGTCGCCACCTCACTTACTGTCGTCTTCTCTGTTGAGTAATTACATCAGTGAAGTGAGTCATTCCCGAAGTGTTACACTTCGTAGCGTTCATGCTCCTAAGTACCTATACACATCTATGTGATCTTACTGTGGTAAGTAGTGGAAGTCATCAGATGATGTTGTGGTACTGAACGTTAAAATTGTGAGTTTTCCGATTCAATTACCCTTTCACCCTCTGCGGGACGGTGTCTGTGGGGGTTGTTTCGAAGCAGGGGCTGGCCTGATACTAGTCGTTAGACTTTTATCACGGGGGTACCTTGGAAATCGTGGTAATGCGACTGATTACACTCGCTAAGCTGCGTCCTTTCACTTTCGTGAAGGTAGTGACTGAACACCACATTGCTCGGGAGTCCCGGTCCCTGGGAGCAATTGTGCTTAGTAAGTCAATGGGTTCGAACTAACCATCGCACGTAGTGACCTTGGTAGTTATGGGCCTACCTTGTCGTTGCTCCCTACGGATGTTGAAGTGTTCGACAATCTTGCTTGCTGACCTCTACTCCACGGAGCAATCACGTCAGTGTAGTGAGTCCTTTCCGATTTCCTTATGGATTTCGTAGCGTTCAAGCTCCTAAGTACCTTAACACACCATTGTGGTCTTACTGTGGTAAGTAGTGAAAGTCATGTGGTGTTGTTTTGGTACTGAACGTTAAACTTGTGAGTTTTCCGATTCAGTTTCCTTTCCTATCTTCGTGATGCTGTCTCAAAGCAGGTGCGGGCCAGATTACTAGTATTACGGGGGTACTCTGATAAATCATGGCGAAGCAAGGTGACTTGCCTAGTTGCTTTTTCTTGCGCATGCGAGTGTTGCTACTGAACGCCACATTGCTCAGGAGATCCCACTCCATGGGAGTGATGGTGCCTAGTAAGCCAAGGGGTTCAGAAGAACCCATCACTACATCACTAGTATAGGTACTATGCTAGTCGGATCCTGCGGCTGAACACAGCATTGCTCAGGAGCACCCAGTATATACTGTTAGTGCCTTTTGACTTAGGGTAATCTGTGACCCGCCGTCCAACTGTGGGATAAGTGCAAATCTTGAGATGGGATAAGTTTAAAAATTTGGAAATTTTAATATGAATTGTATATTTATATACTTATCCTATCTCATGGATACCCGCCCGACCTCCCCACTACTCAGATTACGTTTGCTCCAAGACGAGAATGATCATTCAGAGGTAGTCAAGTGGGCAATTAGTGGAGCATGCTGCAAGCTTTATTAGGAACTAGGAAGCTATTTAAGGAGAGCAGCATAGAGTGCACGGGCGAATGGACAAGGAGGCCTATGGAAAAAGGTTTACAGTCGTTCCACTAAAAGTTGAAGCGAGAGAGAGAGGTGCAAGTCGTGAGATAGGGTAAGTGTATAAATATACAATATATATTAAAATTTCCAAATCTTACATATACTATTGAGAGGAACAAAAGTTTTGATTTTCACATATAATACACAAACATGAAAAGGTTATATTTTAATTCACCGTAGCTGTACCATGATGAACATCCATGTTTCTGTGTTACAGACAGCTGTTTTTATTATCCCACCGGCATGTAATGCGGTGGGATATAGTCGTCGCCTCGTCCGTCCGTCCGTAATCATTTTGTTTCCGGAGCATAACTCAAAGACCGTTCGATATTTTTCAACAAAAATTGGTAGATATGTCAAACATAACCTAAGGTGGTGCCTTTCACTATTTACAGATTATTGTCATTTGTATTTTTCTCGGTTTCCATGGAAACGTTTTTGACTTAGTCTTAAAGAAGGGTGGGCTTCGTTTCCGGAGCATAACTCAAGAACCGTTCAATATTTTTGAACAAAACTTGGTAGATATATCAAACAGATCCTAAATTGGTGCCTTTTGCTATTTGCAGATTTTTGTCATTTTTATTTTTCTTGGTTTCCATGGAAACATTTTGGACTTAGTCTCAAAAAGTAAAGATTGCTTTCGTTTCCGGAGCACAACTCAAAAACCATATAATATATTTCAACAAAACTTGGTAGATATATCAAACATAACCTTAAGTGGTGCCTTTTGCTATTTGCAGATTTTTGTCATTTTTATTTTTCCTGGTTTCCATGGAAACGATTCGGACTTAGTCCCAAAAGTGAGGGGTGGGCTTCGTTTCCGGAGCATAACTCAAGAACCGTTCAATATTTTTCAACAAAACTTGGTAGATATATCAAACAGATCCTAAAGTGGTGCCTTTTGCTATTTGCAGATTTCTGGCATTTTTATTTTTCTTGGTTTCCATGGAAACATTTTGGACTTAGTCCCAAAAGGAGGGGTGGGTTTCGTTTCCGGAGCACAACTCGAAAACTTCTCAATATCTTTCAGCAAAACTTGGCAGATATGTGAGGCAGATCTTGAAGTGCTGCCTTTTGCTATTTGCAGATTTTTGTGATTTATTATTTTCTCACTTTCCATGGAAACAATTCGGACTTAGTCTCAAAAGGGAGGGGTAGGTTTTGTTTCCGGAGCACAAAGCGAAAACTTCTTAATATCTTTCAGCAAAACTTGGCAGATATCTGAGGCAGATCCCAAAGTGGTGCCTTTTGCTATTTGGAGATTTTTGTCATTTATCTTTTTCTTGATTTCCATGGAAACGATTTGCACTTAGTCGAAAATCAAGCTGGACTTTAAGTAACTATCAGATGATTTGTTCTTTCAAAGATGTGGGGCCGGGGGGATATGTCATCTTCTGATGACTCTTGTTTACAATCCATATGCAGCCGGGTGTGGTAGATAATGTCCAGCCTCTAGGCTGCTAGTCATGACATAGGCAGTTCTTTGATGAAGGATGAATTTTGTTGTAGAACCTCCCTCCTATAAGAGTTCATGCAGAAAGTATATAATTTAAGCCAAACAATTTACAAGGCTGTAGCACATGGCTGAAGCCCATGAATGCTTCACCACTCACCAGTGACATGAAAACATGTTGATTTCTTATTTTTATATTTTTGCTCAAATCCAATATTTATCAATAACTGATTGATCTTCATGATACATATTGATATCCACCCCTAGTTATCTCTCCAGCCCTCCACAGAGGTACAGATAAGCTGCGTATCTTCGTAAATTATGCAAATATTTATGTGAAAACTCTATTCCTATTAAGTCTATTGCATACAAGTACACTTGAATACTCAGTAAATGTGATCTTACCTGCATACACACACAAATGTCGGATCTTGCTTGCGTACCGTTGGATATATGAAATAACTGAGATATGTTGAGAGGTTCATGTTCAGGACATGAACTTAGTAACTTGCAGTCTTTCTTACTGTTTCTCGTATTACAGATCAAATATAAATAACAAACACTAACATTTAAACTTTATTATATTTTTATAATTAATGGAAAATGGCAAAATACCCAATTGAGTTTGAGTGAGGTAAGTACAATATATTTGGTTACTCAAAGGAAAATTAGGGATTCTGTTACCTGAGGGTGTCCGGGTATAATACCATTCTTCCTAGGCAATCTGTCTATCCACTCTTGTTCTGGGGATGATGTAGCTAAGATGGATACTCAAAGATAAGTTCAGTATGGTGTTCAAGTCCATTTATTGTTGGCAAGAATTCTCACACAAAGCTCCTCTGATATTGCCTAGTTTTCCTGGTCTACACACAACACTGATTCACAACTTCAATGGAAGAACTCGTTGGATTCTTGTACACCTCTTAATCCTATGAGTTCATCTGAGCTGTTCTCTTGATATACAGAGAGAACCTCTCTAGTCAACGGTGGGGCCCAGAATCACGCTCTACTCACTGGACATGTGACAAAATAGAACTCATGGCAATTTTGGCTCTCCCCATCTCGATTCAGAATGTCCATCCACCTAATTCTGTAAAATCATAAGATATAACCTTTCCTCCTCACTCATGTCAATTCAGAGAAATTGTTATTCCCCAAGAAAAGTGAGTCAATAAAACTTCGATTACTTGGTACTTCAGGAAGTGTCCCGTGTTCCAGTAAGGGCATTAACCAGCACTGTTGCTTGTTTCAGGAAGTGTCCCGTGTTCCAGTAAGGGCATTAACCAGGGCTGTTGCTTGTTTCAGGAAGTGTCCCGTGTTCCAGTAAGGGCATTAACCAGGGCTGTTGCTTGTTTCAGGAAGTGTCCCGTGTTCCAGTAAGGACGTTGATGCTCGAAGTGACATCAGCACAGACTCCCATGCCAGTGGATATACTCCGTCAAGACCTGGTAAATAATCTGAAAAGTGATGTGTCTTCAGAGTATCTGGATCAGATCTTGAATGTGATGGATGTTAGCAGTTGAGTTAGGTGCATGGTCTTTGTCAGGCAGCATGCATGGTCTAGTGGACGGGATACGGAGAAAACGGACCCCCAAAAAATCGAGAAAACAGCCACCATGCTGGAGAGAACGGCCACCGAACCTAGAGAAAACGGCCAACATAGTTGCGCCAAGATCAAAGGAGATTATATGATTGTATATATTCTAAATAATTGAAATTTACTTCATTGGCCGTTTTCTCGAAATATTTTTTGGCCGTCCTCGCTGGGGTCCGTTTTCACTATAACACTCGTGGACGGCCTCTGTCCTACAGTTAGATCTGTTATTTGGGAACTGATGTAGTATCTGTATCAGGTGTTGGATGTGATGAATAATATTTACAGTTATGTAAGGAGCATGGACTTGTTCAGCATCCATGGTCTAGAGGATAGAGGGTCTGCCTGGAGAGTGGAGGTCGGGTTTGAAACCCTGGTTGCCTCACACCAGAAGTTCTTAAAAGATGGTACTTGTCGTTTCTATGCCTTGTAATCAATGTTATTTTCACTGTGTCATCAAAATCTAAATCAAAGGATGGTTATTGATAATGAGTGAGTGAGTGAATTTAGTTTTACGCCGCACTCAGCAATATTCCAGCTATATGGCAGCGGCCTGGAAATAATCGAGCCTGGACCAGACAATCCAGTGATCAACAATATGAGCATCGATCTGCGCAATTAGGAACCGATGACATGTGTCAACCAACTAAGTCAGCGAGCCTGACCATCCGATCCCGTTAGTCGCCTCTTATGACAAGCATGGGTTACTGAAGATCAATTCTAACCCGGATCTTCACGGGTGTTATTGATAATGAAGTTTGTATGGTGCATTACACTAACTGTCTTCAACTCGCCACCCATTTTAGTTTGTTGTATCTGTTGTATGTTAGCTGCATTTTGACTCAAATATACAGCAAGTGGTTGAGGGAAAAACAAACCAGTTTGTTATATCCATCAGTTTGTTATATCCATCAGTTTGTTATATCCATCAGTTTGTTATATCCATCAGTTTGTTATACATGTTATAAACATGCCTCAGAAATATTTCACATCACTTGGACAACTGCTTCAATTATTGAATGTATAAGCCTGGAATATTTTTGCCTTGTGTGTCAATTTACAATCAGTGGCTTTCATTGGCTGAAAGTCACCAATGATCTAATTATATTTCAGCCTACTCATTTCTTTTAATATACTTCTAGTTGTGGTAATGTCAAAGATGTTTCTGCTTCAAATGAGTTTGGTATCACAGAACTGCCTAACACAGTTTATGTTAGCAAAATTGGATATTGGCTTGAATTTCTATAACTGGTTTTGAACCGAATTAAACAAAATCTTGGTCCAAGTGAGTCCAGGAGTAATTTAGGGGAGAATTTAGTAGCAAATTGCATCTTGCTTGAAATACCAGTTTGTTTCAAACTACAGTGGAAACCCCTTAGTAAAGACCGCTTAACTAAACAGACCTGATAAGTAAACACTTTTCTTTGGTCCAGGCAATTTTCTTCATCAATTATAACTATTAGAGTCCGGTTAACTAAAGTCGGATAAGTAAACAATACCGCTTAACTCAACGTCTTCTCACGGTCCATGGAAGTAAATTACTTAACAAAAGAGACTGGATAACTAAATTAGCGATCACCACATAATCCGACATGAGGGGCAGTCGTGTCAGTCTCCAGTCAAACAAACATCCTACTTACAGCTCGCTGGGGTCAAGCAGTTGACAATACACTGACAGCACCGATAAGTTGTTCATTGTTACATATGCATACATATAAATGCATATGGTTGTCATTTGCAGGTTTGGATAAGTAAAATACCTGATAAGTAAACAATTTTGGCGAGTCCCTTGAAATTTTACTTATCAGGTTTCCACTGTATGAACATTCTGTGAGGATTTACATTCAACAGTATAAAGGGAATGATATAAATATATCATACTTGTTTTGCTCAAAACCTGGAACACAAGTCTATCTTTACCTAGGAAGAGCAAACATATCTAAAGCTAGCACTTTTCAAATTATGTAAAGTTTGCTATACTGCCATTTCTCCACCCTTAGCCAACTGTCGCCAGTGTTAAAACATAAGATACTTGTCCTGTGTTAGGAATGTGAAGTAGGTAAGTTAATGTAACCATGGTGATATTAGTACTTCATTTTAATTTAAAAGTCTTCAGAAGAAGCAATGGAAGTGTGAAGCCTTCTACATTGTAGACATTAAGCAAAATGCCTAAAGAAGAAGAAATAAATGTGAATGATTTTATTCTACACCTCACATCTGGTCACTATTAAACTGCTCACTGTTTTGACTGTGTTACAGTCAGTTACAGAAAAGCATCATATTTCAGGCTCTTTGTTTTCCCTTAATGTTCTTTGTCACTGAAATACAGATTCTTATTTGATTTCTGACTAAACTGTTTTGCTATGCATACATGTCATCATATCCCAATTGCGTAGATCGATGGTCATGATGTTGATCAGTGGATTGTCTGGTCCAGACTCGATTATTTACAGGCGGCCGCCATATAGCTGGAATCTGGCTGAGTGTGGCGTAAAACTAAACTCACTCACACACTCGGATAACTTGAAGTGTTTACATAGGTCTCTTCAACCTTGACACAAGAATGTTTGGATGTACCTTTAAAACTTATTGCAGTAGTCAACGAGACTGATAAAATATCAGTTATGGTGGGTGGTTTTGTGTTAGACAATGGTCTCATTCCAGCAAAAATGGGGCGGTGGGGTAGCCTAGTGGTTAAAGTGTTGGCTTGTCACGCCGAAGACCCGGGTTCGAATCCCCACATGGGTACAATGTGTGAAGCCCATTTCTGGTGTCCCCCGCCATGATGTTGCTGGAATATTGCTAAAAGCGGCGTAAAACCAAACTCAGTCAGTCAGTCAGTCAGTCAGTCCAGCAAAAATACACGTCATTGCATCCCAATTGCGTAGATCAATGCTCATGCTGTTAATGACTGGATTGTCTGCTCCGGACTCGATTATTCACAGACTGCCACCATACAGCTGAAATTTTGCTGAGTGTGGTGTAAAACAACAAACCAACCAGTCCTGCACAAATGCACTGGTAGTGTAAGTACACATAAGGATTTGTTTGATTTAATCTGAACAACTCACCTGTTCAGTGGAGCTTTAACTTCAGGATAATATGATCTTCTGTTCCAGCTGACCTGCCCCAACCATCGTCAGTGGGAAGACCAAGCGACGGCCATCGGAAGCTGAGGAAGAAAACAGCACCTGGGCACCCACATTGCAGGTAAGGAAAGCGATCTCAAGGAGCTCTCATCATAATTATTATGATCAGTATTAAGGGTCCGCTTTTCGCTCATATTGTGATAGCACGAATTAAACATTATTCTCATCAGTCCCGATCTGATTACTGCCTTCTAATCCATGGACCCCAAGACCTGCGTTATTGACTCATTGAAGTTTTATTTGACAATTAATTGCCAACATTTTGTTCTTGAGATCAAAGACCGCCTTCGTGGTGTAGTGGTTAGAGTGTCAGCCCGGAGAGCGGAAGGTGGCGGGTTCGATCCCCGACCGCGTCATACCAAAAGACGTTAAAATATGGTACTTGTTGATCCCTGCCTGGCGCTCGGCATTAATGGATACAACAAGGACTGGTCGGCTCGGAGTCAGTATAATGTGTCTGAGTGGGGTATTCATGCTTCACTGCGGTATGGTATCTCAGTGGGCTAGCACTATAAAACCAGCTTCAGTCTGGGCTAGTACAAACAGCCTCACATACACATACACATGCATGCACGTCGTCATATTAGCGAAATATTCTCAAGCACGACGTAAAACCCAATGTCACCTCACCCCACCTTGAGATCAAAGTGGCATGTGTACTGCGGGAAGTCAACAGTGACTTGTCAAACTGCGTAAAATGTATCCAGCCACGTAACCCAAAGTGCTAAGCCTATGTTAATTATTATTTTAATTATGTACGTAGAAAAAATGCATAAACTAACACGATAGCAATATATATTATCCCAGTTAAAATAACTGCTTAAGATATAAATTCTTCTGATAATGGAATAGAAATTCTTTGAAGTTATATTTTCGGATAATTTTCAACTTAATCACCAGCAGATTGGAGCAAAACATGAGTACACAGCTGATTGCTGTATCTGTCTGACAGTTGACAATACAAATTGCCCACGGTAACCTTTATCTCTGCATATTAGAGATGCCATGGACAACAGGAACTACAATTGAATTAATTGTTGATTGGCATTCTAGAAGTTGGTGAATCAAAAGTGAGGCATACAACTTTATGATGACAACTTTTTGTTTATTGCAACAAAAGAAGGTGATAGCTTGATAACGGTGTAAGAATCTACCTCAAATCTACCTCAAATCTACCTCAAATCTACCTCAATGCAATAAACAAGAAGTTGTCATCCATAAAGTTGTATGCTTAATTTTTTGCAATTGAGTTACTATGTGTAGTGGTGGTTGATTGCAAGTTTCCTATTTTCATTTACAAGTTTGTTTGTCCATCAAGTTTTGACTGGGCACAATACATGAAATGTTATGCACAAGGAAAATATGATGTTACTTGGCCTTTATTCTGTGTTATGTATAATGTGGGTCAGGGATAAATCTACCCCCGCGTCCTCGAAATATATGCATGAAAATTTGAAAGGACGCACAAATATTATGCATGTGCGTCCTGTGGATGCATACATATTCACTAATCTTACATGCTTTCTCGGACAGATGCTTCGGCAACGGATCCATATCAAAGTTGTCAAACAGCAAAGTAATGATGTTTCGTGGAAATAATTAAACAAATTGAATAAACCGAAGAATAAAATTGTGGTTTAACCGGACATTATAATTGTGTAAGCTTGCATTTTCATTAAAATTAACTTATTTAAGTTGTAGTTGTATTATTTGAATAATATAAAAAATAAATTTCATATTTATAAACAGTAGCTAGGATTAGACCTTTCAAATGGTGTATGATATTTAGTAGCAATAATGTTTTACAAGCTGATATCCTTCTTTCTTCTTCTAAAGTTTGAGGGAATCACAAAAATTTCAAAAGGACACTTTGCAACACTTACACACTAAAAATTGTAGATTTCTCACTAATGTGGGTCATCCATGAACCCCATGCCCTGTGTTGTGGTGTGGGATGACTGTGTTAGTGGTAACCTCTATAATTGTAGATTTCTCACTAATGTGGGTCATCCATGAACCCCATGCCCTGTGTTCTGGTGTGGGATGACTGTGTTAGTGGTAACCTCTATAATTGTAGATTTCTCACTAATGTGGGTCATCCATGAACCCCATGCCCTGTGTTGTGGTGTGGGATGACTGTGTTAGTGGTAACCTCTATAATTACAGATTTCTCACCGATGTGGGTCATCCATGAACCCCATGCCCTGTGTTGTGGTGTGGGATGACTGTGTTAGTGGTAACCTCTATAATTGTAGATTTCTCACCGATGTGGGTCATCCATGAACCCCATGCCGTGTGTTGTGGTGTGGGATGACTGTGTTAGTGGTAACCTCTATAATTGTAGATTTCTCACTGATGTGGGTCATCCATGAACCCCATGCCCTGTGTTGTGGTGTGGGATGAAAGTGTTAGTGGTAACCTCTATAATTGTAGATTTCTCACTAATGTGGGTCATCCATGAACCCCATGCCCTGTGTTGTGGTGTGGGATGACTGTGTTAGTGGTAACCTCTATAATTGTAGATTTCTCACTAATGTGGGTCATCCATGAACCCCATGCCCTGTGTTGTGGTGTGGGATGACTGTGTTAGTGGTAACCTCTATAATTGTAGATTTATCACCGATGTGGGTCATCCATGAACCCCATGCCCTGTGTTGTGGTGTGGGATGACTGTGTTAGTGGTAACCTCTATAATTGATTTCTCACTGATGTGGGTCATCCATGAACCCCATGCCCTGTGTTGTGGTGTGGGATGACTGTGTTAGTGGTAACCTCTATAATTGTAGATTTCTCACTAATGTGGGTCATCCATGAACCCCATGCCCTGTGTTCTGGTGTGGTATTAGTGGTAACCTCTATAATTGTAGATTTCTCACTGATGTGGGTCATCCATGAACCCCATGCCCTGTGTTGTGGTGTGGTATTAGTGGTAACCTCTATAATTGTAGATTTCTCACTAATGTGGGTCATCCATGAACCCCATGCCCTGTGTTGTGGTGTGGTACTAGTGGTAACCTCTATAATTGTTTGTACCATGACAAAGACACTGGTATGCCATTGATACTGTTGGCAGCCAGTGTGTTCATACCAGCTAAAGATTAATGCATTATTAGAAAAAGAAGTTGAAATCAACTAATGGGTTAACTGTCACTAAGAATCATTTGCTCAGAAACTAAATTTTGTGGGAGTCTGGTGTCTTTGAGTTTTATCCCTATGGTATTTGAATCTAGGGACATCCTGAATCCTGTACGGTTAAGAAAAGGAACCGTGGTTAATTTCAGACACTGCATCAGGTACTAATCTGCAAGGGGTGGTGGGGTAGCCTAATGGTGAAAGCATTTGCTTGACACACCAAAGACCCAGCTTCGATTTCCCACATGGGGACAATGTCTAAAGCCCATTTCTGGAGTCCCTCACCCTGATATTGTTGTGATATTGCTAAAAGTGGCGTTAAAGACGACTCACCCACTAATCTGCAACTGTACAATTTTGCACGAGTTTCGTATAAGTCGTGTGGCACACTTGCGAAGTGTAATAATTTCTTTATTATCCATTTTATTCATGTACATTTGTGCAGTAAAATACGGTAAGCAAGTGTGACTGCCCTGTTCATTGACGTCACGTTCAATTGTTTAATGACGTCACAGACGAAACAGTGGTTGCTAAGCAAAAGTGATATGTGCACATGTGCACATGTGATGTATATGACACTGGTTATGTTTCACCATATGGATAATAAATACTGTCATGTTCTATTTATCCTTTTTCCCAGGTTGTCATCTAGTCCAGTCAAGAAGTCAGCTGAGAAGTCTGAAACAAAGATTTCACCAGTAAAGAGAAAATGGGATGGTGATTCAAGTGAGACATTGCGCTGCAAGAAAGTCAAGTCCAATCAAGGAAGCCGAGAGAAAAGTTCCAAGTCCAAAATGATTACAGATAACAAAAAAAAGCAGACTCCAACTAGAAAGAAAGTCAGAACAAAAACAAGGAGCAATGGCAGGGATAATAAAACCAAACAGTTAAAGCATAATACAACAGCTACTGTCAATTATCAGCGATTGCTGTCACTTAGAGGTCTCATCAATCTCAAGAAGCCCAAACAGTATTCAAATCAGTCTCCGGCAAAGTGTCCCAGTCGGAGCAGTGGGGGTCACAGTGGGGGTCACAGTGGGGGTCACAGTGTGCACAGGCAGTTAAGAAGTTCTACCAAAAAGATGTCTGCTGAACATATTTCTCCAGCAGCCAACAAATCATCACCAAGGAAACTAAGTTTGCGAGGAATGCAAAAACCTCAATATTCAAAACATAAACAAAACCGACATCGTAGTAGCACGAAGCAGAAAGTGCACTCAAGAAACAGTGAAAGAAGCGATTCGAAGCACAGAAGTAAACAGGCGTTGAGAGTTAAGCAAGGGTCAGACATTGATAAGCATAGACGTAAGAGTAAAAGACGTAGACGAAGGAGGTCTGCTGATTCCTTGTCAGTGCAGGAAGCGCTGGCTAAACAACAGCAGGTCATTGCTGAACATAGCAAGGAGAAAGATAAGTTTGAGGATGGCAACATCATTTCAGCATTGTGTCAGCTTGAGGACAGAGCAAAGACATTGCATTCACATGACCTTGATCTTCTCATGCCCATGTCTGACTTGTCAACCAATCGGAATGCTGTTCTGGGTGTCAGGGGGCAAGGACATAATAATCATCCAGGTGGTGTGTGGAAAAAATTAATTCCTGAAAATTAAGTGAATTTGACTTGATTAGCTGTTCATCGTTTTTAATTTATTTAATTTATTTTGGTCATCACCACGATCAGCACATCTTGGTTCAGCAAAGAGAGGTAACTTTTCATGGACTGGTGAGCTGTTTAAGCAGTGAACTTGAAGTGTTGCAGAAGTTCAGCAAGAGACTGTGTTTGCCTCTTGCCATCATTAGAGATGCATCTACAATATAACCTGTATGTATAAGTATTATTAATGCACTAATATTGGGATTGAGTGGTCAGAATCTGTGACATTGGGGAAATGCCTATCATCACACCAACCTGTGAAGACCTGGGTTAGAATTGGTCTTCAGTAATCCATGCTTGTCATAAGAGGTGACTAACCGGATCGGGTGGTCAGGCTCACTGACTTGGTTGACACATGTCATTGTATCCCAATTGCATAGATAGATACTCATGTTGTTGATCACTGGATTGTCTGGTCCAGACTCGATTATTTACAGACTGCTGCCATAGAGCTGGAATATTGCTGAGTGCGGCGTAAAACTAAACTCACACACTGTCATCACACCCCAATATGCGTGATTTCATTTTAGATTTAGGAGATCAAAATGTTGTCATTTTCATGATATTTATTTATTTTTGTTTGTTTATTGATCCATTTATTTATCATCAAAAAGCTGTTTCCACATGAGTGTGTTGAGATCAGATGGTATCTTCTTGTACATGACCATCGTGAAATCAATTGGTACCATGATGTCACAATCAAATATCACTAATCTGTGTACCACTGAAGCAGGTTAGCTCTGTAGGTGTAATATTTATACTCGAGACACTACTGTGTTTATTGTTTACAAAGCAGCGTGGGGGAGCCTAGTGCTTTGCTCGTCATGCTGAATATCTTGGTTTGACTCCCCTTATGGGGACAATGTGTAAATCTGTTATATTTATAAACTTATCCTATCTCACGTCTTGTACTCTCTCTCTTCAATTCGACCTGCTGAGTGGAAACGAACTGCAAATAAAATCTCATGTCCATACTCCCATGCTGCCGCTTTATAGGGACCCCGTGAAGGTCCGGGTTAGAATATTTATCTTCAGTAACCCATGCTCGTCATAAGAGGCGACTAACGGGATCGGGTGGTCAGGCTCACTGACTTGGTTGACACATGTCATTGGTTCCCCATTGTGCAGATCGATGCTCATGCTGTTGATCACTGGATTGTCTGGTCCAGACTCGATTATTTCCAGACCGCTGCCATATAGCTGGAATATTGCTGAGTGCGGCGTAAAACTAAACTCACTCACTCGCTAAAACCAAAAGTCATCAAGTGTACGTGAGGCAATGGTGGATTCTAAAATGCATCTAAAGCACTACAATGACCAATCTTCACATGCAAGGGCTTCACTATGTACACAGGACAGTGTGAGAGTGAGGCAAGGAAAGGACACCAGGTGTCATGGCAGGTCACGCCAACACACCTCGTTCAAATTAGATTTATATCAAAACTCATATATAATGTTAAAGATTATGTACATACAGTGGAATCCGTCTATTATGGACTGGCATTTGTCCTGATTAAACAACTCTTGTCCGTTACCATACACTGCAGTAATGAGTTACCTCCCTTTGTTAAGGATAATATAGTTCATTTTGGTTTTTTATTTTTACTCAATACATGTAGTAATATACAACAATACATAAATAGTTGGCAAATAAAATAAAGATATAAAGACAAAAGTAAATGAGTTCACTTTCATTGAAAAAGTCTGTTGATATGGTTTGCTTCTGCCTCTGTAAATGTCCATGTAACACAGTGTTTTCACCTACACCTCATATCACCTACACCCTTATCAAAACAAATTTAGGGTTGACTGCACATCCCGTAAATGCTGTTATACCTTTAGAAAAGTAGACTCTTCCATTAATGAGGTATGCTCCCACTAATGAAAATAAACTCTAGCACTGATGATATATACTTTAATGAGGTCATGTATACAACAAGTTAAAATACCAATATCATCACCATGATCAGTCACACAAGTCAATCACATACATCATCATCAGTGGTGATACATAATTCAGTCACAAAACAATTAATGTAATTTCGCTAAGTGTCCAACTGTATCTAGAAACTGCATCAGAGTTTTCTGTCCAGTTGCAAGGTGTAGCTTTAGCCTCTCAATTCGGGCATCTTTAGTCTCTGTGAGTCAGTTCTGAGGGCGACTCTGTGTCTCCTGACCCGCTGTTCACCTGTGTCGACTACACAGGACCATGGTGAGTTATGGTGAGATATAACTGTTGCAGGTTTCCATGTCTCTCCTTTCTCCGGCCAGATTCGCACAAGGTCCCCATGTTTCAGTGGTGGTAGCTCTATGTGTTTGCGCATGTCATAGTTCGATTTCTGTTGACTGCTGTCATATTCTGCCCTGATGTCGGACTTACTAAATGCTTCAGGTTCATGCAGTGTCTGGCACATTGGGAGCTGTGCTCTCAATCTTTGACCCATGTACAGTTGGGATGGAGACAATCCAAGTCCCTGTGGTGGTATAGCTCTGTATGCTAAGAGAGCTTTGTGTTTGTCAGTGTTCTTTTTCCACAGGTTTTTGACTATCTTTACAGCAGCTTCTGCCTCATCGTTAGCCTGAGAGTGTTTGGGGCTGATCAAAGTGTGAACAAATCCATATAAAGTTGCACAGTCCTGGAATTCAGTACTTGTGTACTGAGTACCACAGTCCCTCACTAACTCTCCAGGAATGAGAACAAGTGTATATACTGATGATGTGTTTGATTCAATATTGTTGTTAACTAAATTCTTCATATATAAATGTAAAGTATTAAAAACTACTCTTAGTTTTAAACATTTTAGACATTATTTACAAGATAGGTATTTTATTAAAAAGAATATATCCTTCAGTAAAAGTGAACAGGATAAGTTTTATAAAAAGTGGATGTTATATCATGATGTTGCACATTTTTAATGATTTTCTGAATTCTTTCTTTTTGTTCCATAATGAAAAAAAATATAAGCTGAATGAACTTGACCTTAAACTTACTGTAATTATTTGAAGCTTGTAAGTGTGTTGTGGTGTCTGGTGTTGTTGTTTTGTGCTTTGTTAGAAAAAAAAGTTTTCTTGCAAAGGACCTTCGAGTCCCCTGGCTCTATTGCCTTTTCTGTAACAGGGGAAGCAGGGAATAAAAATTATCAATTATAAAAAACAGAAGTTTATGACATTATAGCATTGTCAGGGCATTCACACAAGCAATATCTCCAGTGGAACGCAGTTTGGGATGGTAAAAGTGCTTTATGATTAAAGCCCATTATTATTATTGTCATAAGTGCAAGCCAATGATACTGGGACATGGTTTTGTGCACACCACACAGGCCACCAGTCAGGTGGAAGAATCACTTTACAGGCCCTACTACAAAAACATTGCATGTGTCTGTTCAACAGGAGTGAATGGGCACCTGGTAAGTTGAAATAGTGCAGTGACTATGTCTCACAGGCAGCTTGGGTCATACATTACAGTGTTATATATGCTTATTAGGAATTCATGGACATTAGGAACTGTACTGTTTGTTCCTGGCCACTTGCTGAATATTTCAGTGACATTGTTTGAATTGATCTTCAGTAACTCAGTGAGTGAGTGTCCGGGTTAGAATGAACCTTCAGTAACCCATTTTTGTTGAAAGAGGCGACGGGATCAGGTGGACAGGCTCTCGAACTTGGTTGACACGTCATCGATTCCCAATTGCTCAGATCGATGCTCATGCTGTTGATCACTGGATTGTCTAGTTGAGACTCGATTATTTCCAGACTGCCGCCCTATAGCTGTGATATTGCCGAGTGCGGCGTTAAACAACACACCAACCAACCAGTCACATTGTTCAAAGAGTATGAGTTACGATCGCGATTGTAATTTCGATTGCAAATGCCTACAAATGATTGTAGCTACGATCGTTTTTTGTGCAAGTAGGCCCTGGGCTGTGGAGTATGGGCATCATCTTGACTCTGTCTTCAAGGGTCTTATGCACACAAGGGGGCATTTCTTTCTTTTTTTAAATGAATTCCCTAGTACAGAGACATGGACCAAATCCAAAAGTCAGTCTGTTTCTTTCCTTCATGAGAATTGGTTGGCTTGCAGTGGCATTAAGTCAGTCCAACCTATTTTCAACACAGATTGCGTCAATTATGCAAGATTTCCGCATCAGAGCAATCCCTGTATGTGGGCAACAAATTATGGTCATAACAACTAAAATTTGTAAATCCTTTGAGCTCAATGCAACTGTAGTTTACTGTATGTTCCCCAGGGAGATGAGGATGAATTCCCGGGAGAAATGTTTTACTTGCAACAAATGGATCCTATCTATTCTTCATTTCTATCAATGATGTACACAATGTCAGCGTGTACTAAAATGGTTAAGGAAACCTGAATATATCATCCGGATTTCTGTTTTTGGTATGTATAAGAAATACACAGCGATGCTTGCAAGGACATATCCTGTTTTGCAGGGGTATTAAAGTGCACTCCGTCCATCCATTCGTGCACATTTGTCTTTTCCGGAGCAGAACTTTAAACCGTTCAGTATTTCTTCACCAAACTTGGCACATAGATAGGTCTGGTGGTGAACTGGTGCCTTTTGGTAGTTTTTGATTTCTGATTATAATACTTCTTGCGTTTCCACGGCAACAAGTTTGACTTTGACTGAAATTGGTGTTGGTTCTCTTTTCGGAGCAGAACATGTTTCTTCACCAAACCTGGCACATAGATAGGTCTTGTAGTGTACTGGTGCCTTTTGGTTGCTTTGGATATTTAAATAAAATACCGGGTATTCTGTTTTGTTTCCATGGCAACAAGTTGACTTCGACTGAAATGGGTGTCAGTGCTCTTTTCCGGAACAGAACTTAAACCTTTCAGTACTCTCCTTCCACTTTGCAATATAGTCACTGACATGGTTGACACATACCAATTGTATAGATCGATGCTCATGCTGTTGATCACAGGATTATCTGGTCCAGATTCTATTATTTACAGACCGCCGCCATATAGATGGAATATTGCTGAGTGTGGTATAAAACTAAACTCACACACTGCTATAAACACACCAAAACATTTGACAGTCATAACTAATTGACATATTCATGAAGAGTATTTTGCCATTGCGGGGTATATTGATGACTTTGTCTTCTTGTAAATGATTACAAAAGTGTGCTCACTGGTATTGGGGATTAGATTAGGCCTGAGTCCCCATGCTGAAAGAGAAGACCGACGAGTATTGGGTGGCTTCAGGGAGTGATCTGGTTGACGTGACTGCACTTGCTCATAACTTGTAACCACTGGTTTGCCTTCACAGAGGTCCCTCTAAGGGTAAGCATCTTGTGGGTACCTGGGTGAGTTTTACTGTCTAGGTCTGGGAGACTTGTGGTGGTGGGGTAGCCCAGTGGTTTTGATCATCACGCCAAAGGTCCAGGTTCGATTCCCAACATGGGTACAATGCGTGAAGTCCATTTCTGGTGTTACCTGCCACGATACTGCTGGAATATTGCTAAAAGCAGTGTAAATCCACATTCACTTTAAGGTGGACTGACAAGAAATCATCAGTAAACTGTAATAAAGGACTGATGATGAATCTGACAGTTAAGACTCACATCTTGAGACTGAACAAACACACAGAACACTGGACAGTAATATTTACAAGAGTTATTTATTGAGGCTAGCAGCTTCATACTGAATATTAAACATGATATCATCAGTACAGATCTGATTCCGGCCATCTGTAACTATGGTTACAGAAAATCAAGTATGAACAGGTCATACAAAACACTGGTGCATCATACACAGCTATAGAGACAGATCCAAGTCACATCACATTTATTGAATGTACTACACTGAAAATCAGAATTACCACAAATACTAGCATACTCTCAACTGTTTGCCACCAAGCTGATTGGAAATATTATACAATGATTTTCTCAATTGAACTCCCTTTTCTAAAGAAATGAAATCAAACCCTACGTACAAATAACTGTCACATGTTATCTACATATGTATATACCGGCCAAACGGAACAACACTAAAGTAAACAGAGGCAGTTTATTATTCAAGTACCTGGTTTTCACATAAAAACCCCAAACAATTTGGTAATATTAGTTGTAATACATATTTTGAAAACATTAAATCTGTCTACTAATTTAACAAAGTCAGTAGGTCATTGGACAAAACAAGATACAAATAATCCCTTCATTACACACTGCCATCTTTACATTCTTGAAGAAACTGCTTACAAAAAATAATCTTATTTCAACTACATCTCCTAATTGTAGAAAACTTCTGAAAAGCTTGTGATGAAACAGAGAAAGACCTTTCAGAAATTAATGAGGAAATATGCCAGTATGTGAAACTGGTAACCGTCTTGTGAGTGCAGTAACCAATGCATGGAGATGGAGATAGCAGCACCCAGTCAGAAATCTGTATTATGCTATATACAGTGTAGGATACACGAGACAAAACACATGCAGTGCTGCCTCCATACCACACAGTCTCATCGCCTGGCAGCTGCGTCACCAGTAACAAGGTACGACCATGGTCCACTTCTCAACCATGAGTACTTGACGAGGCTGTGGTTGTCCTCATTTACAGCCAGATGGACAAATACAACGCTGGCGACACTAACTTCATTACATCAAAAGACATGTTGAGAACTGGTCATGGCCTTTGTAATTAGTCATCCTACTGGGCGCTGAGAGCATGTTGTATGGAGGAATCACTTGGTTATCTTCAATGACAGTAGTAGACTAGATGCATAGGACACTGACTAAAGCAGTATTTGGATATTCCTCAAATACCATTGTATCACTCCATGGTAGCTTCTCACTCAAAACACTGAATTACAATAAAAAAATCTCATGATACACATGTTCCTAGAAATAGCACCCCCAGCTTGCCCCTACAGTACAAAAATGAGCTCACCCGATAAATATCCAATGTGGAATATTCCAATGAAATGACATCCAAGTACTTGCTAATCTATAAAGAGTTTGATATCTGCCTAGCTTATCAAAACCAGTTAATGCAAAAAATAGTCCTGGAATGAAAGAATAATATGTCTGGATTACATGACCAACAAATAACATATTTGATTGAATCTAAATGTCAATAAGGCAATCCTGTCACCCATTTCATAGAAATACTTGGACCGGTCCATATACATGGTCAGTAATAAAAGGATCATGCCATTATATGAAATGGGGAATGGGTATTAACATTGAGACCACCGGCAGTGTCTGAAGGTACAAAACATATCATCACAAAAACATTGTTTTCCTTTCATTAAGTTACAATAATAAATAGGGATATGCCAGGTGATTACAAATGTTCTTGTGGATGTAATCATAGTGCTTTAGGAAAATCATATAATCCTTTCATATAAAAATTGTACACTGTGGAAATGAAATCTACAAAAATTACATAAAACCATTTACAACAAAACAAACAGATATGCCTTTTTAGCTACAGTATCAATATATCTGAATTCAATGGTTGCCATGGCAATGATTTTATCTTAAAACCTTCACTTTGGAAAGTGCTATTTTGATATTTCTTCAAACTCACATATATCCTAAACTACCGACTGTAACAGAACACAAAACTATCAACTGATATAAAACTTGGTTTGATCATGGCATTGAACTGAATCTTGTGACTAAAAAGGCATCCACACCTAATAGCGTAAGCATTGCAAGCTTGCCTTCTGTAGCTGGGTTACGGTGAAGCAAAACAAGGCTGGTTTTCAGTGTAAGTAAAGGAACAGTCAAATGAACAGAAAACAAATATACAGGTGGTAACACCATGCTTGATTACACGGTTACTTTAGCCTAGTCCTCATGTACTAAACATCGACTAATGTGTTTACATGTGTATGGTGGATGGATCATAACTGCCTCTAACTAGCAGTGTTTGAAATTAAGTCCAGTCAGGCAGAGATGCCAACCCTATTTGGGGCCTAAGTGTAATACTAGAGGTCAAAAAGTGTAATTTGGAGCTAAAAAGTGTAATACTTGTCTGCCGATCGCTTCAACATGGTACACGTTTTCACGAAAGGAAGATTCTATACAGAAACACATGTGACCAATCATAATGAATCTCCATACATCAAAAATTGTTGGTCATGTGACTCAACATACTTTAATTCCTTGCAAGTTAATTGGAATGAGTTCGATGCTAAGAGTAAGCAATTCCTATCGGTGCAAGGCCATTTCTGAACCCCTGCACCTGTGCGTTATGAAACACTTCCCTGTGAAAATTTATCCACTTAACTGATTTTCAAAACGAGTAGAAAAGCGTAACTTTCGCAGATTAAGTGTAATGGCGTAATTTAATGGTCAAAATCGTAATAATTACGATAAAAGCGTAAGGGTTGGCATCTCTAAGTCAGGGATCAATTGAGTTCCTCTTGCCGTATCCGAATACAGGGTCTCCCTCTAGTATCTTTACCTGTTAACACCAGGGCTTCATGGATCCCTTGACTTCTGTACTTACTTTCAAACACTTATTCAATATACTGATACATGATTTTTTGTCCAATGTATAATATACTTTCATATTTGGGTGAATATTTCATGGTGTTGTACATCATTCTAAATTGTAATTTATGAACTCCAAAAACAAACATAAATATTTACACACACAGTAACAGGTATTATGTGTTCAGTTTTCGTCCTAGAAGGCAGTCAGTTTACAATGAGGGACATTATGAACTGAATGGAAAGACCTCCACATGTATGTTTCAGAGAACAGCCCAACTAATGAGGGTAATGAAATGCTGCACTGGAATGTGTGGTAACTTGCAGATTGTTGTACACATATTGAAGTTGGAGCTGTAAGGGAGCATCCATTGGATTTATATGGGGGTGGGGACAGATTGGTGAAATAGTGAAATCTTTATTTCATGGAAAATACCTAAACAATACAATTGCTGTGTTCATAGAGAAAATGTAAAGATTCTTCGATGCTGCTAAGTAATTAAATAGTTTGTCGGACGTACCTTGGAAAAATTAGATGATTCTAAAACCACTTCCCACTGTCCCCATACAAATCCTACAGATTCTCCCCAATACAAGACGCCAAACTTGGAACAGAATAAGCACATTGTAGATCTGAATGTTTTAAATCCAATCTGATTTGAGCATCTTATGTGTAAATGACTTCCTGGTGAGCAGCCTTGGAAAACCACAATGGTGACTCATTACTTTTGTATACTTCATCCCAACAGATGGCAGGTTCCAGCAGGGTTGTCCTACGTCTGTTTACAAGTAGCTGGTGAACCAAAGTGATTTGAATATGTCGACAATGTATCTTCCTGGTCATAAAGTGACTGCCCTCTAGGATTAAGACTGCAATACATGATATGATTATTTTCTGATCCATCTAAACAACTGACGATGATGACGACAATAAGCAGTTGGACATCAGTAGTGAGCTACTCCAAGCTAGAACACCAGTAGACATGGAACTACTGCTTAACCCTTTAACTACCAGCTTCAATTTACAGCAGTAAATATCAAATGGAACATGTTTCACAAGGGTTAAGGTGGATTCCATCAAGTAATATTCATCAGCTCTTCACCCTGTCAGTGTTATCATCCACTGAAGTAGGCAGCCACTTTGGCGGAGTGGTTTCAAATCAAACAAAGTTGAGACAATGCCAAGACCATGACGCCATGGTACTCCAAGCCTTAACTAGTCACTGGCAACACTTACAGGCGTGTTCATTGAAAGGGTGAAGAGTTAATCTGGAAGCTCGTGATAGTTGCAGTAATGTCAACAGTCAGTTACATACACGGGGGACATGTACAAACTGAGAGAAGAGATGTCATACATGTCTTCATTAAGTTCGAACATGTCCCAGTTTTGGCCAAAGCCGATGTAATTCAGCTGCTAGGTCGGTAATTTTGTCCAATTGCCTGTTCCTGCTTAACATGTGTCCCCAAACCTTCCCCACTATATGCCGTCATAGTCTTGAGTAGGAATCTGTGTGATGAACTGGCTGGTGGATTTGACAATTCCTGTCAGTAAACATGAGTTGGATCAACAGATAATCCCCCGAATGTAAACTGGAATATCCGTTAAATAGGGGTAATCACCTTCAGATTGTGGATGAATGTATACTGATTACCAGTGAAAATATGAATTTTGAAAATATACATTGTATGAAATGACCCTTCACTGCACACCAAAGCAAGATTAGTTCCTTGGAACACAGAATGTCCTCACAAGTCTCTCCACTTGGAGAGTATGTAATAACACCAGGAACCAAAGTGTCGACACATTTCCTTGCGACATGATGGTGCTATGTTTCACAGTGTTAAACTTCTTTGATTTACTCCTTCTCGATTAGCAAGGAAGTAGAAATGTAACATGGGAGTCTCATGTATGATTTTGTCGGAAAATAAACCAAGTAATGACCTGGGTACGAAATAGGGTCATCATGCCAGTTCCATGACTCTTAGATAGCGGGAAGGTACGACCAAGCTTAACACAGATTCCACACCAAGATATGACCAAGCCCCACCCAGCCCACGACAGTGAAGTGCTGTGTTCTCCCGTGTGAACAAACGAAACATCCAAGTGCTCCCTAGTCTCATGGTGGTTGTTGATTAATCATCTAGTAACTTCTGATTAGTTTGGTCTGGTGAGCTGGACTAATTACCTCCTAATTCATACACCACACAGCCTCAAAACATAGCCCCTTGAGCGACAGCTAGAACAGAACCATCAAAATGCAATGTTACAGGCATGACATGAAAATAAACAAAGCAAACATTAAATCATAACCACTAAAGGGGCATAAATCAAGTTTAAATGTCATTAAAAGGGAAGGATTAGACAAATGTAAACAGTATCAAATCAAGAAACATTTTTTTAAATGTTACAAATTCGAAATTCTAACGAAAGTTCTTGAGGCATGTGTGGGAAATGTATGCATCGGTTTTGATTGTGAAGAAACGCTTCAATGTCCAGTAAACTGATTGTCAATAAATTCAGGTTCAGAAATTGATTGTGGTCACTGATGTACTTATTTCTGATCATAAATAAAATGTGAGTGAGTGAGTTTAGTTTTACACCGCACTCAGCAATATACATAAAGAAATAACACTAGAATAATTATAAACCAGGTTTACCAACAATCCCCCAAACAGACAGCAGTGCTGTGAATTCATGGACCCATATTACAAAAATGCTAACAACAAACTCACTAACTCTGTAGTCAATTCTTAGTAAACAAGTATGTTGTGTTTGAGAAGAATTCTATTGATTACCTGAATCAAGAATGAAACACTGAACTTATTTCAAGAGGTTTAAAGGACATTGAAGCAAATCCAATATATTATAGAATTCTGTCTTAAAACCAATGTTATTGCACTTGAAAATAATACCTTATTTTCTACAACTTTGTACAGTCAATCCTGTGCCGCCTTGCAAAGCAAAACAAAACCTCGGAATCAACTGATTGGGTAAGGAATGCTAAGACTTCTGTGTCAGTCAGTAACGAACATAGACATCACATTCACATGTGGCTCATAGTATGTATTCAAATAAATGAAGTAGTTAGAAAAAATAAGAATATTAAGGATATACAATGTAGAATATGGAACAGAATCAGAATACAGTTGATATAAAAATCGATATTCACATAAGGCATGATATTATATAATCACAGAGAGTATAAGCGCGTCACTACCTGTTTTTCATAGAACCATTTTTCATGACTAGATATTTCAGTATGGATGGATACATCAATAATAACTGCAATTCTCTCAGACTTGCAAATGTGGTTTGGCAGTGACTTCTTTAAACAACATGCACTTTGCATATGGGCTTATATCAAATGTGTGTATCTCAGCTGACTACGATTAAGTTCAAGTCCGCATAACTTCTTTTTTTAATCATTTTTAATCGTACCCTTTAGTAAATAAGTCATAACAAGTCAAACTAAACACTTTGGTACGGTCAGTATTGGTCCTCAGAAAAGCATCAATGGTCTACAATTGTTTTAAAAAATCACTGATTTTTGTACGGAAAATGTGACTTGCACTTAAGTAAGTCTTGCGGCCTTATTTACACATTTACAGCCATGTAAGTTACACACAAATATATACAGTTCTTGTCGCATTCCTTTACCCAATCAGTATCTCACTACAGACCCCTCTCGCGTGAACGAACACCTAATCAAGCCAAAGGGATTTGTCAACATGGAGGATTTAGAGCCAAAATGTGATGTAATACCATTGTCCAACCAACCCTCCACTTACTGGGGGAGTTCATGTGTTTAAGAAAAACTCTTGCAAAATTTACACAGAAAAATGTGGCTATTATGCTACAATTATTAGAGATATCAGATGGATATTTGCATTACAAAACACATTTTGACTCCTGTTTGTACATGTGATTCATAAACAAATATGTTATTAATTAATATTTCAGATGCTTATGCTTGGCAGAGTCGTTAGTATCACATGCACAAAAACTCCAACAAAGGTGGACCCATTTATGTCTGAACCCCAGAGAACCTCATGGTCAGATAACATTAGTTCATCCCTTGGGGAGACAACTCTAGGCTGTCTTCAAGGGAGAAAACTCTAGTCATAGGGGTAGACAGGAACACCCATTTGCTCCGAGGCTGATAGGAAGAGCACCAACACTATAAATAGACAGGCAATGGCCCCTAGCAGCTCGCCCAATTGTCATACGGCCGACTGTTTGGGGTTGGTTCCTATGGCGACAAGGGCAGCAACTGTGATTGCCACGCGGGAAATACCCTTCTCTTCAAGAATATCGTGAGCTGAACATATCTGCTCCTGAAAGGATTAAAAAGAATTGAAATAAGTAATAGTTGCATACCATTGCAAAGCATTACAAAATGTTATGAATAACAATGTACATGCAAAATACAAAGGACATGAACAATTTCTGTGTCGGATAAAACTTGTTTAAATGTCTAAATGGTAAGTGACCTGTTCATGGTAAGATTAACAACTCCCTACTTTCTCCATCATTTCTGGGATTAGTATAAGTTAACATTAGCAATCTTGATGCCATACTATATATATTTCAACCATACACTTCAAAGAAAACAATGTGTATGTCATAACTCCCTAGGTAATTATAGTCAAGTGAAATCATCATCATCATCATCATCATCATCATCATCATCATCATCATCATTATCATCATCTTGTCCTACAATTTATAGTTAATTAGTTGTAGGAAACAATTATAAAACACAGTGACTGGCATGAATGTTACTGAGCCGGAATGATTCTTAAAGTAAGAGGGAAGATAGTGGAATGTGCAGCATATAAACATTGATCCCGATAGAGTATCACAAGCAACAAAAACAATAACACTCTCAACAACAGATTTTCCGTAGGATCTAAAACGCCATCACAACATCAATGCAACAGTAAAGGTGACCCAACAAATTAACATGTAATACAAGCACAGGTTTTGTCCCCTGACTTAGGAAATTTAACGTATGAAATTTGTTTCATCAAATAAACAAATCGTGATGTTTACCAAATAAGTACATCTATCTGCACACTGCATATAACAGGATGTAATGAGGTGGGGATACATTGATGTTTCTTCACATGAAAGCAGAAATGACGCTTGTTTGCGTATTCAACTGTGCATTCCCTGTATTGCGTCTACATTCTCTTAAAATATATCATATATGACCAGTGTCTAAGCTTACAATAATCATCAGGTCAACTTTCTACATCAGAACATGCGCACCTGACTCTTTATCACACACACGTTTAAACTGCATCCCCGAGCAAATCTGAAAAACATCATGACTCCTGTGCCGTACAAACTATCAACATGTGTCATGACACCTGTACTGTACAAGCCATCCACATGTGTCATGACACCTGTACTGTACAAGCCATCCACATGCCATGACACCTGTACTGTATAGACCATGCAGATGTGTCATGACACCTGTACAAAACAAGCTATCCACATGTATCATGACACCTGTACCATACAAGTTATCCACATGTCTCATGGCACCTGTACTGTACAAACCATCAACATGTGTCATGACACCATACACGTTATCCACATGTGTCATGACACCTGTACTGTACAAACCATCCATGTGTCATGAGAACTGTACTGTACACCCCAACCACATAATCATGACGACTGTACTGTACACCCCAACCCATATGTATGACACCTGTACTGTACACCCAACAGCATGTGTCATGACACCTGTACTGTACACCCCAGACACTATGTTTTACGAAACCTGTACAGTACACCCCTGCCATCAGGTGTCATGACACCTGTACTGTACACGACAGCCACAATGTCCTTAAGTGTCAATACTGAGCCTAAGTTTACTTAGACTGCACCAATACATCACTCCCTTGTAATTTGCCATTTCCACTTTCAACATTCAAACAAGCTATTGCTTTGATTAAGGCTGATGTTTGATGGCACTCAAAAATATTAAATCATAATGTTTTGATGATTGTTCTTGTTTGAAAACTAGGAAACAGCTGAACACAGCCGGTATCAAATAAAAGGACAAGACAGAATAAAAGAAAATGTACAAAGTAGTTCAAATTGAGCACAAAATGGAATACGAAAATAGGGTATAACCATATTTTGTTGGCAATACATCAAAGGTATAAAGTAGATTATGAGAACAACAGGATTAATAAGAAACCCTTGCATGCCTTGACATGTATAATCAGTAAACTACCTTAGATATGTTGAGCTTCAACCATGTCTTTAAAACACGATATTATGACAAGATCATGACATTGACAAAATGGGAGTATACAGTGTACATTCTTGCTAAGCTAGGGACACACGTTATAGTTACGAAACATCAAAATATTTTGATTACAACAACAATCATTTACAGCAGTCAACAAGTCATAAACAGTAACGCCACTTGGCTACATTGCATATGTCGGACAACTGATTAACAGTAACAAGAATCCAGTTCATCATTGCACTTGTGATGCCATCTACACACATCTACAACGTACACACCTTCAGCTCATGGCAAAATATCAATACGCTGTTTATTGCATAATACAAATTAGCAAGGTTCGTAATAAGCAGTCAACTGAAAGCAGACATGCTAAATATTCTCTTTGATAAGTGACAATCCAAATATTCAAAAAATACTGATATTGTTAAAGCAGGACCTGGGTTAGTGTGATACTGAATTCTGAAACAGCAGACATTTGGTCTTCCATAACTATGTTCCATGATTCCATTGTAATTTTTATTATGGTGCATTCTGAGGAATGCGACACATCACCATAGCAACAAAGTATACAGAGACCCTACAGTGAAACCACACCATCTAAAACTTTGTTAAACTCAATACCATTCGTAACTACTCGTGTCATTCCGGCAAGCCGGATGGCGTCTCGTACCCCTCTCGTGGCCATGTTTACGACTGGGCCCTGTCTAAGCACAAACGGGCACGGAGATGAAAATGGTCTAGCACTATTACCAAGGAAAGATAACTCTGACAGTGCCAGTATAATATACAATAGATGTCGTCCCCCTAATAGATGGTAGTTCTGTGAATTTTATAGACACATGGGCACCTAAAAGATGGTAGCTCCCAGAATTTTAGTCATTATGTGACCCGTCTTCTTTCAAAGTCAGACGATAAAACTTGCGGTAAAGGTAGTTATATGTTCAGGATCAGCAACAGTGACGTGGAGATCAAAGTATACTGAGAGTCAAAACCAAATTAATAACTAAACGTCACATGACATGAAGCAATTTAATTATTTTTTTACACAATCAAGTTTTTTATCTCTCAAGTTTGTTTATTTTGTATTTGATTTTCCCATTTAATGCCATCCAGTAGAATTCAAGATACCTGAATATGGTTTCATGGTTCCAAACACAATGTTGTGGTTTCACTGTAGAATATTTTATAGCTTAGTTGCACGTTTCAGTGAAGCTTGAGTACAGATATCTCATCCCGGGGCAGATCCAGACAAATGAAAGCCAGATTGGTATTCAAACGACAGTCTATAAACCATCAACAACATATTACTACAGCTAAGGCATGGTGACAATGTATCACAGCTTGCTAATGTTTGATTGGCTCAAATCATACAACAGCTAACTGATTCAACCAATCAAATTTGGCAACATATATAGTTAACAACATCCTTACTTCAGTGCCACAAAATAGTATTGGCTTCATTCACATCCTACACATGGCTTAACTCTGGTCAGGGGTATTGGGAGGAGAATATTATAAATACCGGTAATTAGCTACATGCACTGTAATTAGTACGACACATCTAGGAATTAATCAGTTTGAGTGAGTATATTACCAAGCATATTATTTTGAGTATTGCATGTTTTCTTCCTCTACACATACTGTTGGATCAATAGTGATAATTTATCATAAATAGCAACATGCTTCTTTGACAAATCTGAAGGCAATGAACATTGATAACGAACAGCCAGGCACCATTATCAACATACAAAATCAACACAAGGGTCCATAGTAGCCTCTGAGTATGTGTGAGTGAGTTTAGTTTTGTGCCACTTTTAGCATTATTCCAGCAATATCATGGTGGGGTACACCAGAAATGGGCTTCACACTAGGCTACCCCACCGCCCCTCTGAGCAGGTATTATGTTGGGTTGTATACTTGTATACTCCACAAGGACTGACTGACTGAGTTTGGTTTTACCCCGCTTTTAGCAATATTCCAGCAACATCACGGCAGGGAACACCAGAAATGGGCTTCACACATTGTGCCCATGTGGGGATTCGAACCCGGGTCTTCGGCGTGACGAGCCAACGCTTTAACCATTAGGCTACCCCACCGCCCCACTCCACAAGGAGCTGAGAATAAAAACTGTGTGCAAACTGGCATTGGCCTGGTAAATGAAATTGTGCTTTGAGTTTTGTGTGAATTTAGTAATACACCATTTTTAGCAATATTCCATCAATATCACGGCAAGGGACACCAAGGATTCACACATTGTACCCATGTGGAGAATCGAGCTTGTGCACGGTATGCACATTATTATCATTACTGAACACACATGACAATCCCTTTTGTAACAGCAAATATATCAGAATGTGGTAATAATGGTATAAATTTATGGCTTTTGTCCAATGAGAACTAACCATTTGATCTCATGGCATACATAAAATGATCTACACCCTCATATACACTGCAGTGTGCACTGGTCACTGGAGAGGTTAATGTCATGCATTTCATGCAACATATCTGTGCTTCAGAAGATAAAAAACTTCAACAAATGAGGCCATGGTATCCTGTGTTGGCTGTGTGCTGTAGTAGCCAGGCTGTTCAAACCAGATTGTTCTGGTTAGGTCAAAATCAGAGTGAAATATAGGCAATGTTGCACAAGCTTAACCGTTCATATCAAAACTGATTACTAACTGGATAATCACCAAATCATGGCTGCAGATGGTTTGATGCAGCCTTCAGCCTATTCCTGAATTGTAGTTTTAAAAAAATGCTTTTCTTATAGTAGAAATATTCATGGGTGAAATGTGCTTTGAAAAACACCACTGACCATAACCTTATTTGGACCATATACCAGTAGGCACGTCTCCTAGTTTGAGTTGCCTCCCTTGTTAGTTTCAATTCGACCAGTCAATACAAACTACATTGGACACATGAGAGTGACCGGAAAGTCTCTAAATTTGAGTAGTCTCCCTTGTCACTTTTGATTTGACCTTTAAATACAGACTACATCACATGCATGAAAGTGATTGTTAAGTCTCCAAGTTTGAGTAGTCACCTTTGTTACTTTCAATTCGACCA